GTTGCGGTACGCGGGCCTCTCACTGTTGTGGCCTCTCCCGTTGCGGAGCACAGGCTCCGGACGCGCAGGCTCAGCGGCCATGGCTCAAGGGCCCAGCCGCTCCACGGCATGTGGGATCTTCCTGGACCGGGGCACAAATCCGTGTCCCCTGCATCGGCAGGCGGACTCCCAACCACTGCGCCACCAGGAAAGCCCTTGCCTACTGGCTTTTTGTTTCACCGATTTTCTCTACACTTTTTCTGCTTCCAATTTCACTGATTTCAGCTCTTATATCCTTGCTTTGGGTTTATTTTGCTTTTCTTTTTCTAATTTCTCAAAGAACTTAGATTAGTAATTTGAGACTTTCCTACTGTAAGCATTTAGCACTATAAATTTCCCACTTTAGCAGGAAGACTTACACTACAAAATTTACTCTAAACCTATAGTAGTTAGGGAAGCGTAGTACTGGCATAAAGACAGACATACAGATCAATCGTACAGAATTGAGTCCAGAAATAGACTCACACTTATACAGTCCACTGATTTTCAACAAAGGCTCCAGAGCAATTCAATGAGAAGGAAAAGTCTTTTGCATAAGTGGTCCTGGAACAACTAGATATCCATATTTAAAGCTGAGAAAAAAGAAAACTCCCAGCTCACACCAGGCATAAAGTAGGAGAACATATCTGCAAAACATATCTGACAGAGCTTGCAGCCAGAATATGTTAAAAACCCCTACAACTCAACACTCAAGACAGCCAATTTTAAAAATGGGTAAAGGTTTGAAAAGACACTTTGCAAAGGGTATATGAATAACTAACACATGCAAAAATAATTAACATGATGAGTCATCACGGAAATGCAAATTAAAACTACAATGAAACACCACTACATATTCAGTAGACTGTCTAAAACTACAGACTAACAATGTCAAAATCTGCACTGCATCCCACTGCTGGCAGGAATGTAAAATGGCACAATTTGGAAAATAACTGAGCATGTCAATGGGTGAATGTACAGATGATATAAGAATGGCAGAATGTTGATACTATTGAAGCTGGGTAATGGGATTTATTATACTATTATGTTTATTTTGCATTATGCTTTAAATTTTCCATAATAAAATATAAAAGTAAATAAAACTTTTTAAGTTCTTCAACTTTAAACCCATTTTCTTTGTTCAATTAAAATCCATTTGAGGAGATAAATCACAAAACATGTACACAATATGATCAATCTGCTCCATTTCCAGACTTCATGGCTATAGTTTGGGTTACTAGTGAGCCACCTTAAAAGTCCATATATTCATCTGTGATTTCACTGAGACACAAATATGAATGACAGTTTCCAGTGCTGTCACACGGCCTCTGCATCGGCATTTAATTTATTGTTCTCCGCCCCAAAGCTAATAGTATCTGTGAGGGGAGACCACATACTTAAGAGGCTTTTTTTTTTTTTGCGGTGCGCGGGCCTCTCACTGTTGTGGCCTCTCCCGTTGCGGAGCAGAGGCTCCGGACGCGCAGGCTCAGTGGCCATGGCTCACGGGTGCAGCCGCTCCGCGGCATCTGGGATCTTCCCGGACCAGGGCACGAACCCGTGTCCCCTGCATCGGCAGGTAGACTCTCAACCACGGCGCCACCAGGGAAGCCCAAGAGATTTTTTAAGTGATAGTTCTTTTTAAATAAAAAAATAAATACACATTTTTGGCAATCAGAGTGGCAAGTCAAAGCTGGTGAAGGTTACTTACAACGCTGTAACCCACCACCACCAAATGCCCTAAACAGCAGTGAGGAGAAAGCAATTCAGGGCACTGTTTTAGAGAACGCTCTAGTCACTGCCAAAGCTTCATCACATTATATGAAACATGCAAATCAGAGAATCTGCAAAGGTTTAAGGACTTATTTCTTATCAACAGCAAGGGTCTGCTATGGGTGATCAAACACTAAATTGAAGTAAAAAAGAACATCAACACCTATAAAATAACATATATTTTTCTCCCAAACATTAGAACAAAACGATTATCATATTTTTAGAAATTGTGAAACTGCACGAGCTTTCAAATCCCAAGAAGAAATACCAGAGCACATGCAGGTGTTAAACATAAACACTGGGAGTTTGAAATTGCTGTTTTCCATATATATCACTCACAATCTGGTTTACAGTTAAATCTTTTCGGAATTTTTTTTTAAAGAAACAAATAGCGTATTCATATCGGAGGAGAGATGGGTGCAGATGGGAAATAGGGAGGCAAGGGTCCCCCTCATGTTTGCCAAAAACCACTTCCCCACCCGCCTCCACCCTCACCTCCCTCCTCTGGGGAGGGGCCCTGGCAGGCTCCCCGCTTCTAGTGGGTCTCCCTCTTCCTCCTCCCCTGCACCTCCAGTGCCTGGGCAGAGCCCACCCCGGCTCTAAAGCCGGGTGAAGACAGGCTCAAACTAACGTTCTTCCCCCTTCCTCCACCTCCCCCTCACTCCCATCTCTTGTCTAACTAAAATACAGAAAAAGCAAGAGCAGCTGGGACCTGGGAGCATCAGTCACCCAGGGGCTGGGGCAGGGCAGGCAGCGGAGCCTCAGCCAGGTGTAGTGGAACACGCAGATAGCTTTAAACATAATTATATTCGAATTCCTGGGTTCTACCAGTTACTAACAACTTTACAGAATTAGGAACTGTTCCTACTGATACCACTAGAGTTAGTATTTACTCAAAGCAAGTTGCTGTCAGATACATACTGGAAGCATTAGAACTGAAAAGAATAAAAAGATCAAGGGGTTAACTATTAAAAATCAATTTCAGGCATATATTACACATCAAACAGCTTTCCATATATCAAAAGGCCCCATCACTCGCCTCCCACGATTACTTCTACACTGTCAGGAGTAATTTCACAGTCTCCCTGCAATCACAAGGCAGTGCTTCCGCTGACAGAAAGCCAGTTACATATGCCCCAGGTCCTCACTGACTGACTCACAGAACTGGTAAAAGAAGCATTCACTCTAAGTCCACATCAAGTTTTCAGTGTACACAAGGTAAAGGCAGAAAAAAGGGCCTCAGGTAGGTGACAGGCCACACCCCTAAGAAACAGAAGAGAGAGGCACTGGAAAGGAACATGATCTGACGTTAGAAAAGATAAAACAAGTTCCTAAGTGTCAAGTGGTATTTAAAATGCTACGTGTACATTCTCCCCGTGGCTTATAAAGCAGAGTTAAATGTATTTGTTAAAGAAGTTAAGGTAGACAATCAATGTAATGCATCTAACTGGAAACTACATCTATAGCCATTCGGGATTGTACTCAGACTTATCTTGCTTTCCAATGGAAAAAAAAGGTCAAAACAGAAACACCTGAGTCCCAGTGTAGCTTAAAAACACAAAGGGCGCAATGCTGTTATTACCTTGTAGCCACTGGTCCAGAGTATTATCAATAGTGCATTTGACAACAGGGAGGAATTCCGAGTTCATAAAGAGCCCTCGCTTAGGGTGGTTCTGCAGCCGCTCCTGATGGCTTCTGGAGCTGAAAAACTCTAACACCAACTTTATCTGCCAAAGTTCAGATGTCTCGGACATTTCTCTTCTTCCCAGTCTTCTTACAGCCTTGCAGAGAAAAGAGAAACAACAATCTACTTAATGCAAGAGTAAAGATGCAACTGTCACTTCCTCAGAGTTGTATACTAGAGTATTTTTTAAATGTGCCTCATAAGATCAATAAAGGGCAGAGGGGAACCCATTCTGGGTTTTGCTGCAGTCTGCCCCACAGAGGAGCCCCCTACTGGGTTTACATACATGGCCCACTCTCTTCAAAATGAACATGAACAGCTTTCAGGTGAAAAAACAGCAAAGGCAAATGAGCTCATTCTTGGCTCAATGGCTCTGAAAAATGAAGACCAATAGGTCTACAGCCAGTCACCTCTGGTAAACCCAGGTTGGGTACAATGACATGGCCAGGATCAGGCCAGGGATTCCAGGGGTCAGAAGGCAAAAGTATTATTGATAGTGCTGTTCTTGGGACCCATCTGCAAAGTCACCAAGGCTGCAACCAGAAGGGATGTTCTTCTCTAGATACACACCCACAACTGCAAGGGGTGAAGAAGGTTCAGAGTGTAAAAAGAGAACACACTCTCAGCCAGCAACTAAAAAATGCAACTCATTACTTGGCTGTTGTATAGAGAGATACTGTGAGAAGCAGTACCAGTGTGGACATCATGTATTCATACTTATCAACCAAAAAGGTGGATACCTGACAATAATGGCATTCTAGGCCTACTCGGTTACACTGGAACTGGCCTTTTAATTAAGATTGTTACTTAACACAGGTTTTGGGGAATTATCTCCTGTGTTTTCCTACTCAGTTTTTCAGTAGAGATTATTTTTCCATTAGAGATTACTTCCTTTGACTTTAGACACTGAGTCCCAAATTCTCATCTGTGAACTCATTATATCACAGTCACTCGAAGGGCTGTTTAAAACTACAGATCCTGGACTTCATCTCAGAAATTCTGATTCAGTAACTATGGAATAGGACTCGAGGATCTGAATTGTTAAGATTTCCCAGATAAATTTTAGCCAAGTTAGAAAACTACTGGCTTAGTTTAACTGCAAATTTGAGTCTGAAAGATATGACACTATTTAAAAAGCCATATTTATTACTAATAATCTAAAGTGAATAAATTAGTCCGATCCTTTAGCAAAGAAGCTGTTGAGCATTATCTTCTGCATTACCCCTTTTAGGCTCTTTTAAAACAACAATAAGACGAAAGAAATTTAAAAATGAACTCCAGCTCCCTAAATCCCCACATGCTGATGCTGTAACCTCTGCGAGCTTAATTACGCAGGTGTAACTGCACACTACTGCTATCATCAGGGCACCGTTTGTTCACTTACTGCTCACTTGCATAATCTTTTCCACGAAGAGGCTTTATCAGGAGGAAGGCAAGAGACATGAGGATGCTAGGGGAGAAAGGAAGGGAACGTGCTCTTCCTCTACTTGTCAGAGGAAGAGGCCAGAAGAGGCGAACCCCTGGAGTAACCCCACTTGTCATCATAAACTCTAAGCTGTACAGAGCTTTCAACTTTGATAGGGATTCCTTTTTTAAAATTCTAAAAGCAAATGAGAAACTAAAGAGATGGATATAGAGAGAATCTTACCTCACTGTTCGTATGTTATGTGAAGTACAAGATAAATCTCATCAGAATTGGAATAGGTTTTTTGAACCATACCTGATCCATTGCTATGTATGCAGGTAACATCTCCGGGGTCTCCTGGGTCACACATTCATATAGCACTGAAGAAAAGAGATCCAGAATTTCCTGTTTCTGTGGAAAGTCAGAATCTTTTTGTAGCACATCAATGTATATTCCAAAATCAATTCAAAAAACAACTGTAAAGCAATTACTATGGCCCATTCTTAAGTTCTGCAGTGAATGATATAAAAGGGCAAAACAGCTAGGTCTTTATAAAATCAAAGTGCATGCAATATTAAACACCAATGAAATATAACCAAAATTAAGTCCCATGGGACAGTTAAGGCTGTAAGTGCTGTGGATGAGAGGAGTGAACCACGCTGGGTAAAATGAGCAGGCCGGACATCACAGAGCTATGTCTTGGGTTGGGCTGGCAAGAACAGGATCCAGAAAGGGCGCCCAGGATCCACCACACCAAGATGCAGTAGAAACACTGAGCAGAACAGGTTAGGGGGCGCCTGCACAGCAAGTCCAGCTGGGGTTAGGGGCAGGCGTGGGCTTTCACCAGAGACCTGTGGTCTTGAGTGCAGGTCCCAGCCCTCACTGGCTGTGTGATCTTGGGCATGTGACATCTCTCAGTGGCAGTATCCCCATCTGTAAACCCACAACAATAAAGTACCTACCCTCTGGGTCAGAATTAAAGGAAAAACTTACAAAGAGTACTGAGCAGAGTGCCCAATATACAGTGAAAATTCAGTAAGTAAGTGGCAGGAAGGTTATATCACTTAACTTTCAAAGCAACAAGGTAAGGTAGGTTCTATTATAACCCCACTTTTAGAAATAAGGAAACTACATCTCAAAGAGGTTGAAAAATTTTCCCAAGGCTATATACACTTGCAGGTAATAGGCCATCAATCCTGGATCATCTAATTCCTACATCCAGTCCTTGCCACCTGAAATGATGGATTAAATCAAAGATCTACCAGCAAGTACCCTTTGAATCATTAAGAGAATGGTTTTATGACCAACAAAAAGAAGGGTTACAAAACAAATAGAAAACAAAATTAATAAAATTATGTAAAAACAAGAGAAGGGTAGTAAACATTGAAAACATGAATTAGTACAAGAATGGACATAAAGTATCACCTATCAAAACTAATGTCTTAGGAATTTTAAGTTGTTTTCTTCTATCAAGGTAGGAAGTTACTGAATTTAATAGGTTTAGACTATGAAAAATCTATACTTGCCAAACAAAAATCATCCAATGTGCCTGAGGCATGTTATCAATATCAAAGCTACATACGGATATTTTAGGTTTTTTTGGTGGTCCACAGATAGAAACAACAAAGTCTAGCAAACCACATAATATATACCTGACCCATGTTCACAGTTGGTTTGCAGAAATATTCGGCAAATGACAGAAGTGCTGGATCAGAAGTGAATGCTGAAATCGTTTCAGGCTAAAAAATAAACAAACAAGCATAAGTGAGATAATAAAGATTTTTTTCATTACTACTCAAACTGTAATGCATGCACCTATAACCTACCTTATTTTTTTCACACAGTGTTCCCAAAAAACCCAAGGTAAAACTTGCTAGAGCTTCGTCAACCTGTTCTGCTGAGACGTTTTAAGAAACTTTTTTTTTTTTTTTTTTTTTGGGGTGGCCGGGCCTTTTTTTTTTTTTCCCTTCTTGTTTTGCACAGGCTCCAGACGTGCAGGCTCAGCGGCCATGGCTCACGGGCCCAGCCGCTCCGCAGCATGTGGGATCTTCCCATACCGGGGCACGAACCCGTGTCCCCTGCATCGGCAGGCGGACTCTCAACCACGGCGCCACCAGGGAAGCCCTTAAGAAACTTTTTGCACAAGCTACCGTGAGCTACTGATTTATCAAAACAGGTGCTTCTTACACAACTCACCCAAAAAAGGCTTTCCCTCTCCTTCCTTAACGAACTGAAAGGCAAACTAGAAACTAGAATTGTTAATGAAAAGGTAAGGAAAAAAGATTATCACTCTAATAAGCCACTCAAAAAAAGACAAATGCTGTCATAAGGTCATTAGAGTCATCAAAGTCAGAGACAGAGAAAGCAGAATGGTGGTTGCCAGGGGCTGGGCAGAGGGCGAATGGGGAGTTAGTGTTAACGGGGACAGACCTGCAGTTTTGCAAAATGAAAAGAGTCATGGAGATGGATGGTGGGAGTGGCAGCACAACATTATGAATGTACTTAGTACCAATGAACTATACACTTAAAAGGTTTAAGCCACTATATTTTTTTATGTTATGTGTGCTTTACCACAATAAAAAAACTGGAAGGAAGGGTGAGGAGGACTGTCACTCAAGTTTCAAGACTGAAAATGGAATATGAAGGTATTACCACTTTCCACCGAGAGTCAGTTTACTTCTGAACTCCCAGCAGGCAGGAAATGGAGGTGTCTTTTAAATTTTATAAATTTGCCCCATTCAAACTCAAGTCTAAACTTATCTGTTTTCTTTATAAATTGGATTAGGATCTTTGAGATGGGCCCTAGTTTATAAATCAAAGCAACAGTGCTAATTCAAGTTAAACTTTGCCCAAAAATCCTTCAAAAGTATTTCACAGGGACTTCCCTGGCAGTCCAGTGGCTAAGACTTCGCCTTCCAATGCAGGGGGTGTGGGTTCAATCCCTGGTCAGGGAGCTAAGATCCCACACGCCTCCTGGCCAAGAAACCAAAACATAAAACAGAAGCAATATTGTAACAAATTCAATAAAGACTTAAAAAAATGGTCCACACCAAAATAATCTTTAAAAAAAAAGTATTTCATAGAGAACGTATTGAATACTGACAAACAAAATTCACTGATGTCAACTATATCTATTTATTCCCTGGAAACTATTATAAAGGCTCAGTCATAAGAACTAATAAGTGCTACCTTGCAAAAATCTTTTATTTGGGCCATGTCTTAAGTACATCTTAATGGACTTGAGGATTAATTATTAAGCTAAATTTTTTTTAGTGTTAAGATATATTCTGACTGTCCCTGACACTAAATGTAAATCATCCTTAGAGTCCTGGCAGATGGCCCATATTTTATAATGGTTGTCACAGAAAACAGCCAACAGGCCCAAGGTCATTCATCCTTTATAATATGCAATGATTAGAGAGAGCAGATCTACCTAAACGGTACCATAAATGTTATCATAGAAGTACATGCTTTGGGTGGACTAGTGGGATTTGAACCTATTCCCTTTCATCATTTAATTTTGGGGGGGGGGGGTTTAAATTGAGATATAATTGACATATAACAGTTTATTAGTTTCAGGTGTGCAACATAATGATTCCATATATGTATATACTGAGAAATGATCACCACAATAAATCTAGGTAACATCCATCATCACACCAAGTTATAAATATTTTTTTCTTGAGATGAGAATATCCTTCAGTTTTTACCAATTACTACCTTGAAAGCCCGAGCTTCAGAGTTCCTGTTAGCAACAGTCTGGGCCAACAGACTTTGCCACCCCATTGGATCTTCCTTGTACGAGAGCTGACCCGCTCTGAGCTTAACATATAAAACCCCGTCCTTGGAAAGAATTGACCTGAGAGAAAACAAGAATGAATTTAATATGAGGTATTACTGGCAGTTGTTGGCTGGGAATGCAGTGTTTCCCAACAACAGTATTGAGAAATAAGTGAAGTCTTAAACAAGACTTCGCATGAGGTGAAGTCTTCACACTTTCCACTAAGATATATGATTATTTACTGTGTCTAAACTCAATCAGTCCCTACAACAAAGTCATAATCAGGTTCTGCTTTTCTCTGCCATCTAGATTCATGGGACCTGGTAAATAAGTCATTCTGACTATTGGCTCAAGTGTGGACTTCAAAGGAGATATTTTATCTAACATGTCTTCATACTCCCTTAAATATCTACTGATTGGTTTATAGCAAAAAGAAAAGGATGCTGCAAATCTCAGACAGAACAATACAGAAAACAGCTACTATATAGATAGTCTGGGAGAAACAGAAATGAGGACTGTACTTTAAAAATTGTTACAAGCTTGTTAAACTTTCTGGGAATTTAAAGACTTAATTTACACACTAACTGAAGTGTAAAATTATTAACACTCTCTGTTCTTCAAAGTAATTACTTGCATATGACTATTTCCGCCCAAAAGTAATCTACCATAACCTCAATTTTATGAGAGCAATAAAACAAGAGAATGGTAAAGAGATGCAACAGAAGATGTGGTCTGACGAACACCAACTGTTACAAAGTTCCCTTTGTAGACATATGTAAATCAGCCTCATTTTCTTAAACTAAATCTTTCATTATTGCTCCAAAAGACAATTCCACTACTGTCCCAATTTAAGTCACTTCAAGTTTCTCAATGAATTAATATAAATAGGATTTGACTTCTAAATTAAAAATTTTACTTTCTAATACAAACTGTTTCAAAGATACAGACCACTTTATTCAACACTACATATTGTCCTGGGTGATATTAAAGGGTGACAAGGAGCATTCTACATAATAATCTATAATTTATATCTTCCCATATATTTCTATTCCCTTCACAGACACATCTGAGAAATTCTATATACTTACTTCAAGTGTTGGGTTCCCTTGCTTAAATCTATGAGCAGTTCCCAGTATCGTGGGCCTTTAACTTTAATCTGCCAAGATAAATGTAAGCAGTCAATCCAATGCTGGGAAAGTGCTAGTTTGATAAAATGAAACCCATGCTTCTCAGAGGAAATAAAAATAAAATGGGCTAGAAAGAGATACTGAGAGGTTAACAAGCCCCATTTCCAGACGGACATGTAAGTGAATCATGTTCTCAGGCCATCTCGGCCATCAGTAAAGAGCCCCCAGTAAAGACCTTCTCTATTCCTCAGGACTATTCCTCCTGCGCTGCTTTCCCATTTCTTATAAAACACTGAGAAAGCACAGGCTTTTATTTATTTATCTTTAAATGCTATGCTGTTCCGGCTGAATTCACCCCTTGGATAAATCTCCCTATTCACATCCTGCTTACCTGCTTTAAAAGGTGGAGTTCTGGAAGAAGGGTAGGAGCCATCAGTTCTTCTTTGGTTTGTTCATACCACTGAGTGCCCTTTACAAATGTAAAGGAAGAGTCACAGCTCACCATACAGTCAGGGAGAAGTACAAAAAGAACATCACTCTACACTTCCCCTTCCCTGCAGTTTGTAGGCAGACTGTCAAACGGCACAAAATCCTGATACCCAAGTCTGGCAGGGCTACTGTCTACAATCCTTTGCAGAGCCAGCACCACTTTCCAGCCCTCCGAGCCCCGCACTTCACCTGCCAGCAGTACTGAAGCTCTGCACTTGCGAGGCCCCTGGGTTTCTGCATGTTGTCTCCTCTGCTGGAAACGTGCCCAGTTTAGCTGGCAAATCTCAGCCCAGACACCGTGTCTACTATGACGGCCTTCCAACCCCCAGAGATGCTGGATGGGAGCACGTCTCCGCTCCCCCTGCATCCCACACAAACCTCCAATTATCACAATTTCCTTAAGGAGAATGACTATGTCATTTCAACTTTGTACCCCAGAGCCTAGCACAGTTTTGATATTCGGAAGGTACCTAACAATTTTCTGAAGGAAGGATACGTGACTTGTAATCTGTCTGTACATCTAAATCAAAGATCTCTCATCACATACACAACCTTGGGCTTTAAAGCACTCTGCTAACAAATCTAAGAATCATTCTAATAGAATCCGTTTTTTAGAACACCGCTATCAGCTGCGTAAAGTTAACAAGGACATTTTCAAACTACAAGCTCTAAAGATAAAAGAGCAGTTGATGGTCTCTAAAATATTACACCCATAGACTGCAAATGAGCCTGAATGGACTGGCAGAATGTACAAGAACTTTGGAAGCTTCAATTTTTACATGAGTTCAACTCACTATTGTCATCTTTTAAAGGACACCACTTTCAAAATATTTTGATTTGCAAAGATGGATGAGTGGCAATAAAATTACAAATCAACAACAGGGGGAGAGAGTTACCTTATAGGTCACTTCTAAGAGGGCATAGCAGGGCGTGTTTGTGTCCACATCCACGGGCACAAGAAGTCTCGGTTCTGCAGCCAGCACATACAGGTGCCGGAGAGCCTGGAGGTGATACCTGCTCAGAGAAAACACAGAAAGGTGGTAAAAAAAAACAGGTGACGGCACATGAGCTCTACAATCTGCTGTGGTCTACGGGTTAAACCAAGTCAGAGCCAAGTGATACCTTCTCAGGACAGCAATCCTAAAGGAAGATGATGAGGTTCAATTAAAAAGTAATGGAGAAAAGATGTTAAAAAAAAAAAAATGGAGAAATTCTCTTTAAAAAATTAGACACATAACTCTTGACCCAAGAATTTTTTGAGTCTTCACAGTTAAGAGGTTTTATAGGGAAGTAAAAATTATCTAGACATGAAAATATTTAGTAATTAATTGATCACTTATAATGTTAGTTTTCAAATCCTTTTCTGCTCAACACAGGCATCTCCTTTTACCTTCTATGGGATCTACTTCTTTCTTGCTTTTTTTTTCTTAAGGTTTGGTAGGGAAAAGGGGGAAAGAAAGGATGACAGTTTTCCTCAGACAGCAAAGCTCTTCTACATATACATCCCTATACACAAATACATACACACACACCCAGAACACAGTACACCAAAAATTAATGGGTGACATTAATGGGTAACATTTTTCTTGCTGTGTGTGTGCTTTTCTGAGTTTTCAAAAAAAGTTTTTTTTAACTTTAAAATTTATATTTTAGAATTTAAACACATACAAAGCTATTACATTTTAAGATCCCATAAAAGGATAAAACAAGCCTTCAAATTTACTTTTCTTTTAGTTGTATCAATTCCCTCCCTCTTCCCATGCAAATCTACCCACTCCTATAAATCTACCAGAAACAAAATCAATCAAGGCCAGAAAAAATCGATACATATCAGTTACATAAAGGTTCCTGTGCTTATCACCAAATTGCTTTGTTTAAAATAGCTGATACTCTGACCAGCAACATGTGAGGGCAGCTCTCCCTTGTACCCTAACCAATAGCTGACTTCAACAACTCAAAAAACCCTTCCCTGAACTGACAAATGATAGACCACCTGTCCGAGTTTTATTAACTTAACAACAATATTCTCATGCACCACCTATCACTAAATTATGGACTTCAGATGAGGCTACTTTTATAAACAGCTACCTTTCTGTCATTACTGCCTCTGCCTTACGCTGTAGTTTTACACAACGGCTCACTGCTACAAGGAGTGCTCCCCCTCTTGAACCTTCTCTGGGCAGATCACTGGGGGTGCCTTCAGTTGAGCTCGTGGAGCACCTTGGATGTCACTGGGATATAAGGAGCTATTTTCTTCCCTTCCTCCACAGAGATTGGCTAGGCCTGAAACTCATAGGGAAACGGAAGTGTTGGTGGTTCTTTCTGCAAGCCTTTCCCAAGGTCCTGGTCTTGGGGTCTGAAAGCACCTGGTCTTCTGAGGCCCTTGGCTCCTTCCTCTTGAGCTCAACTTGGGTTCTGCAGGTTCAAAGAAGGAAAAAGTGGACGCAGTAGACAAGCAAGATGTGATGAGGGAAGGAGACCTCCACCCACTCCAAGAGGGAAGACCACTTTCCAGAGTCAGGGCCAAGGGGCTGGTGGGGCTCAGGCCATCTCTCCACCACCCACAGTGCGCCGCCGAGGCCGTGGCCGGCTTAGGTGGGGTGGGCCAGGGGGTCCCGACCAGGGCAGGAGTGGCACCGGCCCAGAGAGGGCTTAGGGAGAGGTGCTGGGGGATTCTGGTCTTGAGCCCGCCACTGGCAGATAGGGGGCCGGGGACCGATAGATGCAGTGCCCTCAGCAGCCCCGGACTGCTCAGCCTCTGACATGACAATCTTCAACTACAACTTCATGGGGGGTGATGAGGGCGGGGGGCTTTGCTGGGCGTGAGGAAGATGTCAGCAAAGCCCTCCTGCTTGGAATGAACGGAATCGAAGGCGGGGCCAAGGCCCAGGGACTGAGGCAGGGGCGTAAAACGCCGGATGGCGGCGGGGTCGATGAGGGCTCCAGAAGAGGATCTGGGGCTGGTGGTGGGCTCTCCGGAGGGTTTGCAGACAGGGCAGATGGCTGGAATGAGGGTTCCAGGTCCCTCTGGCTTTGGCTGGTGGACCCAGCTCTTCTTGCTGGGACGATGAAGCAGGGAGTCTCACTGGCAAAGCCCTCTGCTGGGGGTCTGGAGCTGGCAATGTCCTCTAGCATCACCACCCGCGTGGGTTGGGGGGCCTGGTCCACCTTTTGTGAAGGGCCCTCCTCTGGGCCAGGCGTTGTCCTTGATCGCCGCCTCAGGGTGGAAGAGGGCCGACGGACACGGCTCAAGGGCTCTCGGCATAAGTGCAGTGGGTCGGGAGGCCTGGCCTGTGGGGACCACGTGGCCTGCCTGCGTGGTGAGGCAGGTGGTTGGCTGCGGACAGAATCCTGACGTCTGCTGCGGTGCCGTGGGCTGGAGATCTCCTCTTGGGGCACCCGGGGCACCCTGTGGGCTGCCACGACATCTTCCAGGACCATGGCCAGGACCTGCCGAGAGGGTTTTTCCAAGGGCAAAGGGGCCCCAAGGGGCTGCAGATTCGGCTGTTTTGGGCTCCTGGCTTCCCATAATGCTCGAGCCAGGGGTTGGCGGATAGACAAAATGGGGTCTATCCATATAATGGGATATTATTTGGCCATAAAGGAAAGAATTATTTTTTCTTTTCTTTTTTTTTTGCCATGCTGCGCAGCTTGCAGGATCTTAGTTCCTCAACCAGGGACTGAACCCGAGCCCCAGCAGTGAAAGCACTAAGTCCTAACCACTAGACTGCCAAGGAATCCCCCCTTTTTTTAAACATATCGAAAACTTTAACATATGCAGAGCTTTTGTATTATCAGACTGCTTCTACATGTTTGAGGTTCTACTGCTTACTTCCACTTCTAAATTGTCTAATTCTTTGCTGCATTTTGCTTGTCTGTCCCTTCTTTGTCAATTATATAAAACTTCTCAGCATTCATGTAAAAGAGAGAAAAAACAGAATTCATATAGACATTGCCGCTAAATCAGACAAATTCCTCTCTTGGAACTAAACAATTTTGCCAAAACATATTCATCTTCTCTTAGCTGCTCTCTTTTGCATGATGAGTTTTTCCCTAAAGATAACCCTGGCCTACTTCTGGGTTTAGAGCAGTCCTGTTGCCTGGAGAATGGGAGAAGACTGATCAGTCATCAGATGCCCAAAGTTCTCTTCTGGTTTAATATTTTGTGAGAGAAACTTTTTAAAAGATTTACCCAGGGAGATAACTAAGTTGAAGAACAGAATAAAGCTAATTTGGAAACAAATCCATGGAGCCAAAACACAATCAATTTACTCCCTTAGAGAACTTAAGGAAGATCACGTGAGGAAAATCACTAGACTCACCGGTTGTCAGTGCTGTGAGCTGGGAAGTGCGGGTAAAGGGCACAGAGGAGAGCGGCAATGGAAGAGTTCGATGTGCTCAAAGAGTACCTGCAAAACAAATTCGGGAGGGACAGACGCTGTTAATCATACTGTGCAAACTTTCATGGCATTCTCGAGAATCAGGAAATTCAGGTAGTGTGGCAATGCACGCTGATAAAGCTAACCCTTGATCAATACAAATGCGTCAACGCTGTGAACACCTGACTTTACAGTCAGTCCTTGAGGCACTCCAACACCATCTACTATTTAAAGCAGGAGTGACTATTCACAAATATTAAATTGTAAAACTTGAATTAGTGAGCAAAGTTTTAACCTAAAAGAGAACAGTAGTGAGGACCATGAGTGCAATTCTAGAGATTACAGATATTGAAAAAGTCAAGTGTAAAGTATGCTACCTTCTCCAGTTTTATATATACCTATTTATAGAAATATGCACCTTACTTCTAAACATACAAGGTTTCTTTACTGGGTATCTCAAACATTTTTTTCCTTTCTGTAAAGCATAAGCATTTCCTTAGAATGCTAGACTAAATAAAACAGGCAAAAGCTACCACTAAAAATTTACAGTGAATGGATAAACAACTATTCCTTGAAAAACAGTTTTTTTTCTTATCGATATGACAAACTTATTTTACAAAGGCCACATACTCTTAGTAAAGTAAAATCTTTTGAAATTTTCGTCCAATTATTTTACTGTTGCTTGAATTCAGCATGGCCAACGGGCAGATTTGTCTAAAGTTTTAGCTTTTCTTACAAATATTTTGAAATAAATATGGTTCAGAACATCACATAAAACCACTGTTGTCACTATTCTATATACATATATCTTTTATTATACATATACACATACACACATCCCCAAATCTCTTTCCTTATCTTTTTTAATAATTAGGGTATCAAGTAAGAATTTAGCATTTATCATACACACATATATTTAATGAAGAAGAGATTTCAAAATTTAAATATGGAAATATATCTATGTTGACATGTGCATTTCCACTTTACCATTCTGATAAAACCAAAATCCAAAGATAAACATTAGATATTAATGTTAGAAATGTTGAGATTAAGCATAAGGGTGTAACTATGCTACGAGAAATGTAAATGTTGTTACAGAGTACACATAAGCATTCAAAGATTAAAAAAGTCACTAGAAAAGCAGCAGCAGAATGGGAGAAAATCTACTCAGTATGAAAGAAGAACAAGTAGGGTCATGCAATGTGTGATGACAAAAGATGAGATTGAATAAAGATAAAATAAATGCAGGGGCTTACTTTGAAAGGAGATAAATTTTCAAATATCATAAAATAAGAATTTTCATAATATTTTCTTAACCACTCTTAATTTTAAACAATTGAAGAAACTTCTACAAAACCTGTCAAAAGGGAATGAATGCACACCTTTCTAATAATCTTTACTTTCTGTACTTCTGAAACGGTGAGTTCCAATGTTTTAACTCAGTCTTAAGAGTGTAAAATAAACCTACTGACTTATAGGAAGTATGTCAGTTGTCCAAGGTCACATACTAAATAAATGAAAGGATACACCATACCCACAGATTGAGAGACTCAATGTTATAACAGATTTCAATTCCTCCAAACCAGTGGATAGACTCAATGCAACTCCGATCAATATTCTATCATGTTATTTAGTGTGGAAAAATCAAAAACAAATTCCATTATTTATATGAAATGCAAAGAGCCAAGAACAGAAAAACACATTTTTGAAGAAGAAATCTCAGTTTGGAGGATTTACTCTAACTGGATATCAAAACTTATTACAAAACTACAATACTTAAGACAAGTGTGGTACTGTGCAAGTACAGAAAAACAGACAATTGAACATAACAGCCCAGAAATAAACATATGTATATGGACAATTAATTTATAACAAAAGTGGTACTACAGAATAGTACAGAAAGGATAAACTTTTTGATACCTGTAAGGTGTCAACTGGGGAAAAAAACACAGAAAAATCAGTTCCAGGTCAACTTTAAATCCAAATGTGAATGGAAAAGCTAAAAAACTACTAGAAGATAAATAAGCAAATATCTTCATTTCTGGTGGATAAGAATATATTTCATCAGAAGGACAAAGAAGTACAAACCATAAAAGAAAAATATTAATAATTCTGTTCGTCAAAAGACAACATTAAGAGAGTTAAAAGGCAAGCCACAGAGTAGAAGATAACTACAACATACAAAACTGACAAAGGTCTTGGGATCATAATGATAAGCTAATATGGAATAGTCATATCAAAAGAAACAGAAAGTAGGGACTTCCCTAGTGGCACAGTGGTTAAGAATCCGCCTGCCAATATAGGGGACACAGGTTCGAGCCCTGGTCTGGGGAGATCCCACATGCCGCGGAGCAACTAAGCTCATGTGCCACAACTACTAAGCCTGCGCTCTAGAGTCCGTGAGCCACAACTAGTGAGCCCACATGCCGCAGCTACTGAAGCCTGTGTGCCTAGAGCCCGTGCTCCACAGCAAGAGAAGCCACCTCAGCGAGAAGCCCGCGCACCGCAACTGAAGAGTAGCCCCCGCTCGCCGCAACTAGAGAAAGCCCGTGTGCGCAGCAACGAAAACCCAACACAGCCAAAAATGAATGAATGAATTAATTAATTTTTTAAAAAAGAAACAGAAAGTAGAACAGTGGTTGCCAGGGGGTGGGGGAAGGGGAAATGAAGTGTAGCTGTTTAAAGGGTATAGAGTTTCAGTTTTGAAAAATGAAAAAGTTTTGGAGATTGGTTGCACAACAATGTGAATATATCTAATACTACTGAACTGTACATTTAAAAATGGTTAAGATGGGAAATTTTATGTTATGTATATTATACCACAAATAAAAATTTTTAAATGAATAAACCAATATGAAAATGGGTAGCAAGAGATTTGGACATCACAAGAGGAGACTTTTCAGTTGGCCATTAAAGATATAAAAAGGTGCCAAATACCATTATTCAGGAAAATGGAAATTAAAACCTCAATGAGATACTACTACGTGCCAGCTAAAATTAGGAAGGCTAACAATAACAAGTGTTGACAGGATGGGGAGCAACTGGAACTTCATATGATGCTGATGAGTATATAAAATGGTAAAACCACTCTGGCGTACTGATGGCATTATTTACTGAAATAGAACATACATATATACCCTATGACCCAGTTCTACTCATAGATCTATACATAACAAAATCAAAAACATGTACAAGAACATTCATAACAGTCCCAAACTAGAAAACAAACATATCCATCACTAACAGAATAAATTAGTAACTGTGGTATAACCATACAGTTCAATTCAACAGCACTGAAACATGAATAAACCAATGCTACACGCAACATGGATGAATCTCAAACATAATGTTGAGCAAAAGAAATAAAGCACAAAAGGATACATAGTATATGATTTCATCTGAATTTCAAAAACAGGCAAAACCAGTCAAAGGTGTTAGAAAGCTACGTAGCGGTTATCTTTGGGCAGAAGTAAAGTAACAGTGAATTGGGAGGGACAGAGCAGGGTTGGAGATGGGTTGTCTCGGTTACATCTTGATCTACATAATATCGAACAGATTTTCATACTGTAGGTAGTTCATTGAGTCATGCTCCTATGATTTGCACACTTTTCTGTGTATGGATTTTTATTCAAAACAGATCATTAAAAGCCAAAGAAGTCTTATAAAGGGATGAGGTGGTCAGGAATGATAGATGCTGGAAAGAGAACAAGAAAGTTGAAAACTAAGGCAATCTCATAGGATTTGGTAACTGAAAGTGTTCATGACCATTATGAGAAAGCAATTTAGTAGAAGAGTAAAGTCATTAATGAGTGGGAACAAGAGGTGATGCAATGAAGTACTGAGTACAGACTCTTCTGAGAAATGCAATGATGCCAAGTGTGTTAGAGAGAGGATGGTAACTCTACTAAGTGGGGCATAAATTGGTGGTTAAACTATGAAAAAGCCCTTTTTAAGTGTAATAATGCCCTGAGATACGCTAATAGCTAGTCAGAATTGAAAATTTTCATGCATCTTCAAAATCAAAATAAGTCACTCTTTGAGATCTTGCTCATGAGATCTCTTCACTGAGGAAAAAATATATATATTCATTTACCTTCCTCCTCCCAAAAACAGAAGTCCAAGGGCCATGTGATGGGCTAAGTGGAAACCATAGTTCATTTCACCACCTGTTTTCATGTGCAAGAAGCGACAAAGCTGCAAAACCTTCAGGTTCCCCGAGCCAGCCATCACCATGGCGAGAGACAGCAGCACCACACTCAGGCAAGTCTCCAGGTTGTAAGGACCTGTCTGGAGACGCAGAAGATGACATACTATAACCGCTGTGCTACCTTTTCTTTATTATCAAAACTAAAGCAGCCAGCATTAGACTACAAATGTTCACAACTTTAAAAAATCTGAAAAAACAAATATTTTCCCTGATTATGAAATTTAAGTTCCATGTCGAAAATTCAGAAAATAAAGTATCAAAAGGAAATAACAATCACTTGGAATACTAACAGCTGTAAACATTTTGGCTTTCTTTTTCTCCAAATCTTTCCCTGTATCTATTTTGCTTTTAATGAAACTGAGATATTACTGTACACAGTATTTTTAAGCTTTTTAATCTATTTTATTATGAGCAATCTTCACTCATAAAAAATTCTTACAGAACATGATTTTGATAGCTCCTCTATATAACAGTGTAGATACACCACAGTCCATTTTTTGACTGGTTTTAGATATTTTGATGTTTCCAATTTTCTAATATAAATAATGTTGATTAAATGTGTTGCTGCTTTTTTAACCAAGAAATAAAATCTTGCAGTCTTACTATCATCAGAGCAGCAATCCTCAAAACAACTGCATTTTTACTAAGTACTAATTTTTTCAAAAAGCAGTTACCATGATTCAGTACTGAGCATGGCACAAGGTATGACAATCCATGAAGGTTATGGCTTTTCTTATTTATTTTCTTGTCACAAGAATTAGATACCTTCAAGCATAGTCACATTCTCACCTAATATCCCAGAACTAAAATACAAAGATAAGCCAAAGCTTCAAATCTCCCATTCTAAATTCAAAAACTGTGCATATATTTGGCAACACATAAGTAATCGAATTATCAGTGAATTTTCTTCAAATTTAATTTTATTCCCAAGGAAAATCATCATAAAAAGACTTACTACAGAAGCATTAGGTGCGGACAAATAAGTCATAAAATCTTTTGCAAATTTATGCTGGAAAAACAAAAGAAAAAAATTAAGGTTAAAAGAAGCATACTAAGACTCTGTAAAAAAGAAAACAGAACAAGTAAACGAAGATACTTCTTACCAAACAGTTAAATGCTGATAAGTTTTCTGAGCCAGCAAATCGAAAACCCAGAGACAAACAAGCTCCTGCAATTATGTAGACATGTGCCTGCCTGAAAACAGATCACAAGAAATTTAAATACTGTCCTTGTCTTGCTTTAAAATTCATTATTACTATTATTTGGGGATACAAATAATAAATATTCCTGTTCTCTAAATTATCAATAGTTTATATTCTTCTGGGAATGCTCAACTGTGCCTCTACTCAATCAACTGGACAGATTTCCGTCCGGTTTTCTTCAGTGGAAGCACCATGCGGCTCTTGCTGATAAAGTCGGCCTCTTGCCTGCACTGTTTCATATGCAGCAAAAGAAGATAATTTTTAACAATCACTGCCAATTTTTTTTAATGGAAAGGATAAAAGAGGAATATGTACAAGTTAAAACTCAGACACCGTTTTTTGAGGGTAAGAACTCTATACTGCAGAGAGCCAAACGAAAAACAAACTTGTGAACATCTGGTAAATAATGGTTAGAAACATGGGGGATTCAGAATAATTACTCAAATCAAGGACAGTATTACTCCTACACAGTATATTCCAATTCATTTATCTGACAGATGCTAGAGTAGCTGATTTGTACTACATGTTTTAGGACTTACGACAAAGTTTCCAAATTCAAATCCTCTGAACACGGCAATTCGATTTCACTGAGAGAGATACTATTTTCTCTTATAATCTGTCAAGACAGAAGGCAAGAATACTTGGACATTAACATTCAAGTTACAAGTATTTAATAATTTGAAGAGTAACATATTGCTTATGGCTATATTTATATAAAATAAGCTTTACCAAACCATCTCATTCAAAGGCATATATTTTAATCACATTGAATGCAATCCAATTTCAAATCTAAGATGGGCCAAATAACTGAATAGGACTGAACGAATATAAACTGGAGGACTTAAGTATATTCTGAATCAATAACAGAGTAATAATGTTTCGTGCAAGTGAACTGAAATGCAGAGATGATGGCCACAGAGCAGAGCTGGGGCAGGAGTGAGGGGAAGCAGCAAGGAAAGTGGAAAAAAGCAGTTGCAGAGAACTCTAACCAGAGACATATATTTCTTACTCATGAACATTTCTAGTATTAAGCCTACCTACCTACCTAACCTACCTCTGGTGAGGTTAGTCACCAGATTAATTACCCAAGCTAAACTAAACTGTCAATATGTGAATCTGTAACTATTGTTTAGAAACACATCCCTTTCCTTTTAGTATAAGTGTGAACAAGAATTTATTTTTTAAAAAATATAGACAATATCTAACTTTAACAACCAAGAACTGATTTGATTCTCTTCACTTAAATACAAATAAAAAAGATAAAGCTATATATTCTCTAAACTTATGAATGCAAGTACATAGATATAAAACTCTGAAGATTTATTCCTATAATTCTTCTTAGAAGACTGTTCAGGGGAGTAATATTTCAGGATGGTTTCCATAATAAATCAATAAGTATTCACAAGTCGCTTATGATACAATCTTCCTATATACTGAATATCACCAGATCAAAAAACTTGAAATACCTTGTCTCTTTGATAATCTCAGTGAGGTAAGCAACTATGTTGGCTGTGTAATATAGGCTGATAACTACTTCCATTTTTCTTCCTTCCTCTTGTCTTTATTTTCAATTTTGGATGTATTTACTCAGAAATTGAGCGACATTCTGAAAAACTGATATAACTCCAAAGTGAGTAATTAATATATTCATGGATAACCTGATTATAACATTCATATAAATTAGCAATATCATACAGGAATGGAATATTTCTATTTTGACAGCAGACATTTACAAGCTCCTTTTTGTCTTCAGAAGAGCATATAGCCTGGAGCTTGAAGGCCTAAGTTCTAATCCCAGCAGGGCCACACACTAGCCCTAGGACCACATCCGTAAAAATGAGCAAAAATAGACTTCCCACCTTCTAGGTGTCTCTGAGAATTAGAGGACTTAACCGACTCAAAGCTCTGAAAATTAATGCTTGGCACATATGCTTTGCAAGTGTTAGCTCCATTATTATCACTATTATAGATCTGCACCATTGCTATCACAAGACCACACTTGATCATAACCACTTTAAAACATCACTAAAAACTTGGGTTATAAATAACTGTGGGGGGACTTCCCTGGTGGCAGAGTGGTTAAGAATCCGCCTGCCAATGCAGGGGACACGGGTTCGAGCCCTGGTCCAGGAAGATCCCACATGCCGCGGAGCAACTAAGCCCATGCGCCACAACTACTGAGCCTGCGTGCCACAACTACTGAAGCCTGTGAGCCTAGACCCGTGCTCCACCACAAGAGAAGCCACAGCAATGAGAAGCCTGCGCACTGCAACGAGAAGGGGCAGGTAGGGAGGGTGGGAGGGAAACACAAGAGGGAGGAGATATGGGGATGTATGTATATGTATAGCTGATTCACTTTGTTACACGGCAGAAACTAACACACCATTGTAAAGCAATTCTACTCCAATAAAGATGTTAAAAAAAAAAAAATGAGCCCCCCACTCGCTGCAACTAGAGAAAGCCCATGCGCAGCAATGAAGACCCAATGCAGCCAAAAAACTTTTTTTAATAAATAAATAAATAAATTTATATATAAAAGAAGAAAGCATGCAGTCCAATTATGTCATAAAATAGTCCTGTTTTAAATAAATACACAGCTGTGGGGGTGGGGAGCACACTTCAACCCAGTCCCTGTAACCTTTTCCATGGTCTCCTAAAGTTTAAAAAATAGCAAGAAATATAAGGAGTAATCAAAGGGAAACATGTAATCACTTAAAGGCAGGTTGAGGCACACAGGAAACGAACAAGAAAAGACCACCAAACTGCCCTGTCTTGTACAGAGTCTTATACAGAAACCTCAAGTTCTGAAGTCCTAACAGCTAGTTTCAGTTTTGCCCCACCTCTTACTAGCTGGATGGTTTTGGACCAGTCTGTCCTCTTTCAATGTAACAGTGATATACTGAACTCTAGCTACTGTGCGCGAGTCGCTAGGAATGAAAGATGGAAAAGACACGGTAGCTGGCCTTGAGAAGTTCATGGTCTAATAGATACACAAACAGATAATCAAAAGTAGTACATCGTTCCTACCCATACAATGGGGGCAATACTTGAACAATTTATAGCACAACACCGCAAAAAAGAAAAACATTAGGCTGTAGAGGAAAGCTTTTTATGAAGGAAAACGTGCTATGAAGATGCTAGTTATTGTATTTGACACATGCCTTAAATTCAAACAAATAAGCAGTTTACAAAGTGACCTTTTTAATCCCACCTTTGATGCTAAGTTGCTCCCTACAAGGGACCCTGCTACAGGATCAATGAGATGAGTGGGCGAGAACTAGGAGAAAGTGGAGAGTGACAGGCAATATCAACCAACAGAACTGTGAACTTATTATATGTCCTACTGTGTATCCCTGATGTAATAAAGACCAAATTTAAAATTATTAAGTCTGAAGTAAAATAAGTATCAGAGAGATAACTTTGTATTAAAAGTCCAAGAGACTTCCCTGGTGGTCCAGTGGTTAAGACTCCATGCTCCCAATGCAGGGGGCCCGGGGTTCAATCCCTGGTCAGGTAACTAGATCCCGCATGTCGCAACTAAGAGCCCACATGCCACAACTAAGTGCCCGCATGCTGCAAGTAAGAGACCGCATGCCGCAACTAAAGATTCCACATGCTGCAACAAAGATCCCACATTCCACAACTAAGACCCAGCACAGCCAAATAAATAAATAAATATTTTTTTTAAAGTCCAAAGACTACATTTCCACAAAAGTTTAAAGAAAGAACTGACATGAATTTTCACCTTCCATTTGAGAATACAGTTACTTGTGTACATGTTTAACTTCACTTTGTAAACAAAATTTAGTAAAATAAAGTTTTCTCAAAGGCAGTCTACATGTCAGATGCATCTTAAATGCAGCATAGAATTTAATATGGTGTCTTGCATTTGCAAAGGTTCAACAAACATATGCTGAATGAAGAAAAAGTATGTTTTCATCCTACAGTGTACATTTACTTTCCAAAAGGAACTGATACCTCTGACATCTAAATGTGCTGGGAGTTAAATGTCTTCCTGACCCGTGAACCATGTGTGATCAGGGCAGACTCAGCCTCCAGAGGATAAAAGAACTGAACTAAAATTAGAACCGGCAGACAAGAGACAGGGTTTGACATTTGATTACAAGTAAATTAACTGCCTGCTTTAAAACAAAATGTATTTGTGTGTGTACACAAATACACACACAGAGATATGTATGTATGTACATATGTATCAACACTCTTTAGAGGAATACAACAGAAACTAGAGTCTTCAAAGACAACATGCACAATGTCCCAGATACAAATCAAAATTACTTAACATAAGAACAAGAAATGCAACATATTCTCAGAAGAAAAGACCATGGAAAACAATCCTGAAATGACCACACTGTTGGCATTATAAGGGAAGGATTTTAAAGCAGTTCTAACTAGAAGGACAGTATGCCCATAATGAGTGAAAATCTCATCAAAAAAAGTAGAAATTATTTTTAAAAAAAGGAAAAACTAAAAAGTACAGTAAATGTAATTTTAAAATTCACTTCATGTACTTAATAGGAAAATAAAATGCCTGAAGAGTGAATGAACAGAAAGATAAATCAATAGAAACTTGCAATCTGTAGAAAAGACAGAAAAAGAATAAAAGACCAGTCACCTCATATATACACTACCAAATGTAAAACAGATAGCTAGTGGGAAGCAGCACATAGCACAGGGAGATCAGCTCGGTGCTTTGTGACCACCTAGAGGGGTGGGATAGGGAGGGTGGGAGGGAGACGCAAGAGGGAAGAGATATGGAGATATATGTATATGTATAACTGATTCACTTTGTTATAAAGCAGAAACTAACACACCATTGTAAAGCAGTTATACTCCAATAAAGATGTTAAAAAAAAAAAAAAAAAAAAAGACCAGTCATCTAATTTTTGACAAAGGAGGCACAGGAATACAATAAGGAGAAGGTGTTTTTAGAAACAGTGTTGGCACAACTAAATATCTATATTTTTTTAAATGAAAACCTTAACCCTTATCCTTGTACCATAAACAAAATTACTTTGAGATGAATTACGTAATTATACATAAAAGCTAAAACATCAGGGCCTTTAGAAAAAAATAAATCTTCAGGCTAGGCAAATATTTTTTCCATAGGACACAAAAAACAACCATAAAATTGAAAGTTGATAAATTAGACATTATCACATTTTTTAAATTTTCTACTCATCAAAAATAGTACTAAGAAAATGAATGGGCAAGTCAGATTAAGAGAGATATTTGCAAAACATTTATCTGACAAAGGATAGCTTTCCAGAATATATAAAAAATTCTAGCATCTCAGTAATAAAAAGATAAACAATACAAAAATTTTTTTAATGGGCAAAAGATATAAATAGACATTTCATTTAAAAAAGATATATGAAGAAGCAATAAGCAAATGAAAACGTTCTCAACATGCAAACTGAAACTACAATAAGGTATCATTACATATTGACCAGCAGAGCTAAAATTAAAAAGACTAACACCACCAAATACTGGCAAGATGTGCAGCAGCCGCAGGACATGCAACAGCCAGCATTCTCATACACTGTTGGTCCAAGAGTAAAATGGTGCAACGTCTTTGGAAAAACGTTTACCGGTCCTTAAAAAACTAAACATACTGCTACTCTATGCCTCAGTAATTCCAATACTAAGTATTTACTCAAGAGACACTAAAACATAAATCCACACGTATATCTGCATAAGAATACTTATGGTACCAAAACCTGGAACGAGCCCAGGCATCCAACAAAAGAGAATGAAAAAAGAAACTGTGGTATATTCATACAATGGGATACTACTTAACAATAAAAAGGTTGAACTACTCATATACTCAATGGTGTCTCAAAATCATGCTGAGTGAAAGAAGTCTTATACAAAAGGGTATACATTGTGATTCCATTAATATTAAGTTCTGTATCGGGCAAAGTAATATATTTTGGGGAAAAAAATCAGAAAATTGGTTGTCTTGGGGATGGAGAGTAAGTGCACAGACTGAGTGGGAAGGGAACTTCTGGCCATTTTGATAAAGGTTTGTTTCCATGAATTTATACATTAGTTGAATCCTATCAAATAGTATAATTAAAGTTTGTGCAGTACACTATATACAAATTTTACCTTAAAAGGAAAAGAAAAGAGGTAAATATTGAATAACACACATGCTGAAGTACTTAGGGAAAAGTGTATGATTATCTGTAACTAACTTTGAAATTGATCAAAAAATAATGGGTTGGATAGAGGAAGAGATAAATGGATAGATATGTGATTAAACAAGTTTATACAGTAAAATATTAATTGTAGAATCTAATTGGTTGTATGGGTGTTTGTATAAAGTTCTTTCAGCCTTTATTTTGAAATTTTCTCATTAAAACATTGGAGGGAGCACTCTAGCATTCTGAAGGATAAACAGATTTATTTTCTAAATAAAAAGGTACTGAGGACATGGACAATTAAAGGGCAATATTTAGTTACAATACTTACAATATTTGATTTGGAGTTTTTACAGAAGAGTCTGTTTATTTTTAACTATTTGGCTTATTGCGTAAACATGCCATAAAGTAATTAAAACAACTTCTTACATACAAGGTAAAAAATTGTCACAAAGTATAACAGTACTTTAGATAAATGTATCCTTATTTAGGATAAAAATGTCAAAAATACTTTTATAGAGTTCTTTGATACATTTAATTTTTAAAAATCAGCATTTCTAGTGCTCTGTAACCGAAAAAGGAAGGCTGTGGTCTGTGCTCAGCATACAATCTTAAAATGACAGTTCCTACGTTTTCAAGAAATACAGTAATCATAACCATCACTATTGCCTTCAAAAGAAAAAGTATTTTATAGGTTTTAGAAAATCCCATAGGAAATCATAATTTTATGTGATTAAAGATATAATAATATTTATTATACATACGTACTTGAGGAACGTTGCTATCAACCCACTTGGAATTTGGTAAAATATCATCCCACAAAATCAGGCATCGAGCAAGCGTCTTAAAAAATGCAATACAGAACAATTAATTACAGCAGGCAAAGTTCACAGATTTTGTAACAATGATAATACTGTTAATAGAACAATTTAAGAATTAGTTCCCAACTGATGAAAATTTTGAAAAACAAAGTATATAGTATCAACCTAAGCCACTCATTAAAATAAACAGAAGATTTACATTTATCTCAAAAAATCTCAAATTGACTTGATCATCACTGAAGTTTGGAGGAGTTGGAGAGAAGTTTTTAAAACTTGCTCCATAGAAGAAAAATCATAAAGAAAAGAATCATACATACATCTGTCTACATAATTTAAAGCCTTTCATATGCTAAAAGCATAAACATTGTAGAAAATGGAAAATCTGAATCAAATTTATGTCAAACAGTTACTGTAACTAATTATACCCTTAATAGTATTATTGCATTCTTAATAATAATGAAAGAATGTAAAATAAAGTAGTAATGAAGCCCCAGTGTCTTGTTACTTATTAGGAAGTTTTGAATAATAATGTGAAACGTTAAAATGTCACTCCAAGTATTATATATCAAGGTGGTTGTCTTTCCTGGCAATTCCTACAGTTATATTTGGGAAATTTCAAAAGAACACTACCAATTATATATACACATGATGGATTAACAGTAAAGTTCCCTCGTGGAGACATTTTATAGACTCCTCATGTTAACAGAAATTAAAAATTGCCAAGTACCATACCCTAAGTAAGAGAAATTCTGGCTTCACAAAGTCCAGCAAATACATGGTGTCGGGAGCTCGGAGCCAATCTGCAATGGATCTGTTGGTGGTGGATACCAATAAGCGTTATTGCTCAAGAAGAGAATAAGAGCATCAAGACCACAAGACAGATTTCAAGAATTTTCTTTCCACTCCAACCACTGTCCTATTTTTTCCCATAGTACTTCACGTCCTCCAACGTAGTACTTAGTATGTATGTATTTCTTACTATAAGTTTCCTAAGGGCAGATATTTTTAGCTCTCTTTTGTTAAATGAAACATCTCCAGTGCCAAGAAAGCAATGTCATATACTTTCATCCAAAAAGTAGATGAATAAACCTGTTTTTAACCACTTTGTTAATTTTGCAAACATTCACTTTGTCTAAAAAAAGAATTTACAACATTGAAAACTTTCTTTAATCTTAGAATGTTTTTTAAATTAAAAGATTTAAAATGCAACTTAACTTACTCTTCTATACAAAATGTAAAAGAATAAACACCAAACATCTACTTTCAAGTGTCAGCACTAATTACAGGGCTTGAGGAGGCAGACGGAATAGCTGTTAGGAAAGCTCCTGAACTAAGCAGAAACCATTTTTATGAATGGTAACCAGGAATATAATAATGCTAAGTATTTCTGATCTACCCAGGCCTCATAACAACAAGCAAAATTAATGAAAAGGAATTTAGACATTGTTTGTCAGTGACATCAACTATAAAATAAAAGTGAATAGAAACTGGCAACTGTATTATCAAATATCATTAAAATAACCAAATGTATTATTTCTAGATAAAACTCTATATAACTTGTAGTACCTGAGAGCACTGAAATCAGGCTGATCTAGCACAGGAGAGGTAAACACAGTAAAATAATTTAGTTTTACTACTGAGGTCAGAAAGGAAGTCACATGGTCATGGCAAAGGATGGGGTGAGGAGGTGCGGTACCTGTTATTGGTTTTTAAGTAGATCATGGCCAAAGCGAGAGTGGCACCTGGACAAGTTACATCCACATTTATGGTATCTCCTTCCTATCAAAAGAAAAGTTTGTATAAAAGAGCTCTGAATTATTATAAAATTCTTCTGAATACTAACCTATGCTTAAAATTAACATAGTTACACATGTTGGTATGAAAACTACTATTTTCAAATTAACTTCTTAGCTTCCGGAAGTTTGATCTGTTGCTTGATCTGGACTTACTTTGATTTGATAACTTGGAGATTTATGTTTCTCCCTGTGCATCCCTGCTTGAAAGCGCCTATGGCCTCCGACCATGTACTGATAAAGCTGCTCGGGCACATTGAGATCAGACATACCTATCAAATTACTGCCGTGCTGTAAACGAAGTAACAGACAAGGGAAAGGAAATTTTACAGAGTAAGATCCATAACACATACCCATAACAAAGAAAACAATAAACTAACTTCAAAGCCAGTCTTCTGGGTTTTTTATCAATTAAAATCTCATGAGTTAATACTCAGTCTGTTAATAATTCACATTAAAAATTATACAGGCAAGTTAATACTTTCATTTCATAAAATACATAAAGGCTTCAAAATACAGCTTCAAAATACAGTTAACTGCATTAACAGTTAAAGAAAATATTAGGCAGGTAAATGAACCCTGAACTATGAACACCTGAATCCTTTCATTATCGTGCCTGTGAACTAGTCCAGCAATAATAACCATAATAATAACTTAGTGAACGCTTAACACTCTTCCAGGCATGATTCTTATGTTTAACATGGATTAACTTACTTAATAAGACAATTCGATCAAATAGCTACTATTTTACAGGTGAGGAAAGGGAGGCACAAAGAGATTACGCCCAAGGTTACATAGTTAGTAAGGAGCAGCAGTGGATATAAAACAAGGCAGTCTGGTTCCACAGTCCGTCGAGCTGCTTAACTACTAGAAAATACTGTAGTTAACCGATGTCAGGACTCACTGGTCAGGACCAGAATTCACGTCCCAATTCCCAGTATGATGCTTTTCCATTGTTTTATCTGCCTCTTTAGTTCATGTGTCAAATGTGAAGAGTCAAAAGCCTAAACGACAGTCGACTTTCTTTATATAATTCGGTTTCAGTATAACACTGTATTGGTGGCTCTTCAAAGGACCCACATTCCAGCTGACGTAGTCATTTAATGTTTTTCTGGTAACCCTACACTACGTCTACTGGATGGGGTTAAAGATGGGGAGTCAGAATGATACTGCATTCTGTCACAAAGCAGCTGCTATTGTGGCAACGTTCTGGGATACCTAGTGAACACCAGGGCACCAAAAGAGAGTTCTGGTTTATCTCTAGTCCTACAGACTCTTAAGGCTCCCCATCATACACCCATTTTCACTTTTTTCTGTTTTCTTACTGAGTGAACTGTCGTTTCTTCATCTTATGTCTTGAACTCTTTTCGAAAAACTTCATTCCCTTAGTTCATTCATGAACACTTATATCTAAGCCGGGGGGAAGAAACCTTAAAGCCCCATTCTTCACTACAATTTCTCTCCATTTCCAAATCTGGCACTTTGAAAAATATCCAGAAAGAAGAAAGAGCTGAGAATCACAGTAAGTTAAGTCACAGTACGGCAGAGTGGTATTCAGAGTAAAGTGTCAAGGCTACTCTCTCAACAAGCAGAATTTGTAACTGAAGCAACTGCAGGCACAGACTCTGCTTACCCCCAAGCAAACCATGCCCAGAGCCAAGCCAGCAGCCAAAGAGTAAGACTCTCTGTCCGTGCAGTATTCCATTTCAGGACCAGGGGGCCGTCCTATAAAACAAAAAGTAACACAATTCAAACTGGCCTCTTAAAACCCTAACTCGTAAAAGTTTTAGAGTTAACTTTCTAGTAAGTTGCATAAGAACTATGGATTCAATATAACCCCACTAAGAAAGATCTGACGTTATCACAAATGGTGTCCACAACTATCAGTTTACCACAAAATAAACCCCAAACATGGTTCTTCTAATTTGCCAATCTGAAAGCAATCACTTTAAAATACTGTCAAACCTTGAGTTTTATAATAAAAAAAAAAAAAAAATTACCAAAAAAGGGGAAAAAATTTTTTAAAGGGAGGGATGTTCAAAAAAGCTTCAATTTGTAATTTCTTTCCTTTTGTTTTTGTTTTGTTAGCTTCAAATCTATTCAGATGTGGTAAAAAAATGTTCAAATACTGATAAGGAACAGGAAGGACACTCCCTTTAAGTTTTTAAGAATGTTAAATATTATGCATCCAGACACTTATTTTGAATCTATATAATACTGAGCCTTACTATGATAGAATTTCTCTGTATCGATGCTCTAAGTTTGACTGGATGCAAAATTCATACTTTAAAAAGTACCCCCTAATTCTAACTCCACCCCTTTTAGGGCAGCAAAATGTATTATATATAAAGACCCCTTCCACCAAAGAAAAAGTTCCCATTCCTGGAATTTCATCCCCAGGAAAAAGATTTTTTTAAAAAGAAAGAAAAATTATACACAAGTAATCAGTGTAATGTTTATTGCTTAATTAGCAAAGAATTAAAAACCACCTAAAAGTCCTGAAAATAAGACAATGATTAGGCAATTTATAGAAAACCAACTCAATGAGCTATCCCACAATATAAAATTAATTTTAAAAGCCATTTATGACAATGATATATGAAAAGAGCAGTACAAAAACAGTACGTACAGTCTGACTGTAATTATACAAAAGAGCATACGCATATGATTTCATCTGGATTTCATATGAATCCAGATGAAATCTTCTGTATACAATGTGAAAGAGGTGTACTATGGCTGTGAGATATGTATAATGTTGGCACCATTAGATATCATTATGATATAGCCAAAGAATGTTAATTACCTTGCAGATGAACAAGCTTTAAAAGCCAGTCCTGAGTATGTTCTGAATAAGTGTTTCTCAGACCAATCACTTATGCTATTACATATTTTGCTGACAGGAAAATTTTAGTTTTGTGAATATTTCATCACTGTAGTTGACTACACTGTTGATTCCAATTCTTCATGCCCTACAGTGCCAGTTATAAATACATCCACACTCCTGACAGAGTTTCCTCTGTACCTGAACGTGTGACTGGCTTTGAACTAGGATCCTGGCTGGCACAAGGTAAGCAAAGGCCTAAAATGAGCTTCCATTATTTGGTTCTCCCTCTTGCCCTTCTGACATCACCATAAAAGAAGCCTGGGTCCCAGAATAAGGCATTTGGAGCGGAGTCTGAGCAGCAGACCCACAGATCTACAGCCTGAAGCAGAGATGCCTGGGAAAATTTTGTGGCTATCCTGAAGTATATGTAGAAAGATCCTGAACAGGATAGAACAAGACATGCAAGTATGTATCTAAATTACTGAACGTACCAATAATACTAATAGCATTTCCATTTCTCAGAAGAAGATGATAACACGTAAGACACGTTTCCAAAAAATGCAGACTTACGATAAAACATAAAAAATGCCTTTTATCATGAACATATCCACCAGCATATAGAGGAAAGCCGGAATCAATCACTTCCATTCTGTTAGAAGTGTTGTTGTCCAACAGAATAAACATTGTGCTTTTAGGGATCAAAACAATCAACTTTGAATTTTAAGTGTAGACCATTGCCAGACATTGCCTAGCAAAGACAGAGCAGGATAAGCAGCATGCTCACATGTGATTAAGACCCTAGGCTACCTCGTTACATGGGACCACTGGAGCTCAATAATGGGCTGGCCAAGTAAGTATGCAGACCAATAACCTGCACAGTAACATCAGCCTTGGAAAACATTAGTTTGTAGTTGTTTTCTTTATTAGTATAGCTCATTCTGTGCTCACAAAAGCTACTATTTTTTCCTTAATTTTTATAATCTTACCATCATTTTTACTTTGGTTCCTGTGGAATGGTAAAAATACACTTACGAAACCACAGCACTATTAATGCCATACCTATTTCAGCCAACAAGACTTCTGCGGTATGCCGATGAGCTGTCCCTTGATAAACAAGGCCGATGCCGACCACTGCAGCCACTTGGACGTTGTGAGGAACATCAAGCTCTGTGGACGTTGGGGGCAGGAGAGCAGGAATGTGGATGCTAAGAAGCCGTGTAATCGACATATCCATGGTGCCTAGTTTAGCAGCAGAAACACCAAGGAGCAGTCCAATGCTTGTCATCTCATGACCCTAAGACAGAAAAAAGAATAAGACTTAAGTCACTACCAAAACAAATATGTAGTTTTAAATAAGATACTGCCTGCCAGTACTGTGACAGGCACAGTGAGAAGCTCCAAGAATACACAAGCAAACTAAACAGACAGGTCCTTGTTCTGATGAAGTCAGTGCCCTTGGGGAAGGGAAAGTGTTAAACTAAAAAATACATATTATTGAAAACTCATCAAATGAAAAAGTATAAAGATTATGAAAGAGTATTTTAACAGAGCCTACTTTAGATTAGAAGGGACTGGAGAATTATTAAGAATCTCTAGAAAGTAAAATTTACAATAGAATGAGTACAAATTAGCCAGGCAAAGTGGCAAGAAGGGAAGGCACTCAAATTTACAAAGTGAGAGAGAATGATGACAGGTGAGAGAAAAACATGTAAATGATGCTGAGATGATTCAAAAAAAAACCCTCACATTGATATTCAATTGACTACAAGGGTGCCAAGACAATTCAATGGGAAAAGAAGAGTTTTTTCAAAAAACGATGCTGTGATACCTATACAGCCACTTGCAGAAGAATGAAATTGGACCCCTTCCTGACATCATACATAAAAATTAACTTCAACTAAGATGTAACTAAAAGTAAAAAAAAAAAAACTCTTAGAAGAAAACTTATGCTATTACATATTTTGCTGACAGGAAAATTTTAGTTTTGTGAATATTTCATCACTGTAGTTGACTACATTGTTGATTCCAATTCTTCACTGCCCTACAGCGCCAGTTATAAATAGGTGTATATATAGGTGTAAATCTATGTAATATACAAAAGAGCATATACATATGAATCCAGATGAAATCTTCTGTATACAATGTGAAAGAGGTGGAATAGATACAAATCCAAGTGATCTTGTGCTAGGCAGTAACTTCTTAGATATGACACCAAATGCACAGTAACCAAAGAAAAAGTAGATGAATTGGACTTCATCAAAATTTAAAACTTTTGTGCTTCAAAGACACCATCAGAAAGTCAAAAGACAACACAACGGCAGAATATTTTTGCAAGTCATGTATCTGTTAATGGACTGGTATTCAGGTTACATAAGGAACTCTTACGACTCAACAACAAAGACAGCCAATTAGAAAATAAGCAAAGGATTTGAATAGACATTTCTCCAAAGATGACATACAAATGACCAATAAGCACATGTAAAGATGTTCAATATCATTAGCCATCAGGGAAATAAATGCAAATCAAAACCACACTGAGATATTACTTCACACCTACTAGGATGACTATAATTAAAAAGACAGATAATAACAAGTGTTGGCAAGAGTGCAGAGAAATTGGAACCCTTATGTATTGCTGGTGGGATTACAAAATGGTGCAGCCACTGTGGAAAACAATTTGGTAGTTCTTCAAACTTTAAAACAAAGGGATACCATATGATGCAGCAATTCCACTCCTAGGAATATACCCAAGAGAAACGAAAACATTCATCCACACAAAAATGTGTATATAAATGTTCATAGCAGCATTATTCATAATAGTCAAAAAGTAGTAATAACTCACGTATCCATCAACTGAAGAATGGAAAAATCAAATACGGTATATCCATACAATGAATATCTATTCAGCAATAAAAAGGAATGAAGTGCTAATACATGGTACAACATAGACAAACCTTGAAAACATTACAGTAAGCAAAAGAAGCCAGTCATAAAAGACCATATATTGTTTGGTTCCATTTATATGAAATGTCCACAGTAGGCAAATCCATAGAGACAGCAAGTACATTAGCAGTTTGCCAGGGGCTGGAGGGAAAGGGGAACGGAGAGTGACTGCTACTAGGTAGGGGTTCCTTCATGGGGTGATGAAGATGTTCTAAAATTAACAGTGGTAATGGATGCACAACTCTGTGAATATAATAAAAACCACTGAACTGTGTACTTCATATGGGTGAACTTTTATGGCACAGAAGTGGAAAAGTTTACGCCAAGAGAGTTTGGTCGGCCAAGGAGCTAATACAAGCTTTCTCTATGGCTGGAGCATAGGGAGCAAGGAAAAGAGAAGCACAAAGTAAGGCTGGGGAAGTGAGTAGGATCACACAGGCTCCTAGAATGTACATTAAGAGCAATGGAAGATCACTGAACAGTTTGACCAGGGAAGTGATATATTCCAACTTACACTTTAGAAAGATTTCTCTGCCTGCTATGAGAAGAATGCACTTAGAGGTACAAGATTGAAGAAGAGCAAACAGAACAACTAGGAGCTACTGTAATAGCCCAGGGGAGAGGCACAACGCCAGGAGCTGGCAGCACGAGTTCTCACCTTGGTCAGGTAGTCATGGATATTGAGAGTAGCCAGCTTGGTAAGGTGCCCGTTCAGACCCAGGGCCATGAGAAAGCCAGCATACTCATTGGCTAACTCGGCGTGCTTGGGCTTATTGTAGACAATCCAGGCTGAGTCGATCTGGGAGGCAGGGGCTATCTTCAGGCCGGCAGCCACACCATTATGGAAGCTGGCCCAGCTGGTCATGTTGGGAGGCACATCGATGTTGCCACTGTTCAGGTCTACTGTTGTGTTCCGAGGGGGTGCCCGCCCTATTCAGGCAAACAGAATTTAAAATTGAGAGAACAAAAATTCAGAAACCAAAATTGTTACATTTAGATTCTTTGAGAACAGAGATCACTTTTCTACATTCAAAACCCTTAACCCCATAATACCTGTAATGATGTTAGGTTACTATGCATACTTCAAGTTTTATACATGTGAGTCAAACTTGATGCAAGGTAGAAAAACCTTAACTGTATAAAATAATTCACTGTCCTTTCTGCTAAAATATATGGGACTATAATAAGATAACTGATACCAATTTAACTGTGTACAGATCTGATTAGGATACCCACTGCTTTGAAATCTGTCTTTCAAACAGCAGGAAGCTCACCGAAAAATAAATTGAAAATTAACATCACAAACTACATGAATAATAATTCCAACATGTGACTGACAACAATGTTAATTTCAAATGTGCCATCCCATTTTTTCTCTGGATGTTACGGAAAAATGATTGTTTTTAAAAAAGACAAGGAGCTTTATAAATTTGCTCTATCTCTTATCTATACATCTCTCTATATGATATAGAAATCTAACTACACACTATTGGTAAAAATGCCAAATTGCATTCAAAGATACCTATATAAAAAACATTTTATACACCTGAGTTACCCAGTGAACCATAAAAGAGTATTCACTAAATTTAAATTTGTGGTCAACTTATTTAAGAACAGTATAAATTAAATGTTCATGATGCTATGTTCTCTTTGAATGCCTTTTCTTGAGTGTTCTGACTACACTGCATACCCGCAAATACTGAATTATCTCTATATTTTTAATATTCTGTATTAGCTCAAGTCATGGATGACTATTTAAAATAAATATTCTAAATACAGTAAGTCCCTTACATACGAACTTTCAAATTGCTAACTTTCAAAGATGCAAATGTGCGTTCACGTGTCCAATCTCGTAAGTTAGTTCACATGTCTGGTGTATGCTGTCACGTGTGTGCATCCTCTACAAGTGGTTGTGCTTTTGTGTACTTTACTGTACAGTACTGTATAGAGTACAATAGTACAGTATCTTTATTTCAAGCCCAGGATGTCCAGAAGCAAGCGTAAAAGCAGCAGTGATGTAGCTGGTACAGCGTAGCCAACCGTGTTAGTTGGGTATCTAGGCTAACTCTGTTGGACTTACGAACAAACTGGACTGATGAACGTGCTCTCGGAACTGAATTCGTTCATATGTAGGGGACTTACTGTATTGCATACAGTTACACAGTTCGCTAGAGGTTTGAAAATATGGTTTTAAAGGCGTTCTGAAAGTTATGTAAATTTTAATTAGATGCATAGTGTCTTGTTTGTAGTCTATATACACATACACACACATACACAGACACAAGCATAAAATAAAATATATTTGTATTTACCATTTGCTTTTTGTACCTAAGAGCTAACTCAAATGCTGGTCTGTGATAGCACCACACTGGTGACAAGTTCATGAGTTATACTTTTACTTTCTCAAAAAGGGCAGAGAGATTAATAATGAAAAAGCAAGTAAAATTTCTAAAACAACAATTCAACATATGTGTAAGACATAATTTTTATACACAAGAGAAAATAAAAGGCAAAGGGTAAAGCAAATTTTCTTCGATAAGAATAATTACATACAAAAACACAATAGGCCAAACCAGTGTCAGTTAAGGAACTAAAGTGAACGTTTTTTTCCTAAATGAATTTATTATTAAAACAAGATCATCTTTTGGCGGGGGGCAGTGCTGGTCTGGGAGGATGCTCACTCACTATATAGTAAATTTCTAAAAACAATTTCTAAAACAGGTTTAAATTTTCTGATAAACAAATACAAAATTATAAAATGGAGAAATAAAATTGGGAAACAAATAAACCAAAGTGTTATTTAACACTAGTGGACTCTAACAAGTTGGGACTACTATGAGTGACCATTTTTATTTTTTCTTTTTGCTTAGTATATTTTCTTGTTTTTGTACAAGCATCATCTATTCATACTAAGACATAACAAGACATTTTAAGACTAAATATTTTTACATATTGACTTTAGGATTATTTAAAGTTTAACGATCTCACCATTCAATAGTATCTTTCTAAACTTCCCCAAGTGCCTTTTTATATCTTGAAATGGTCTCATTAAAAACAAAATTTAGTAATGGGCTATATTCTACTTCCCTCAATGTTTAATTTGATTTGCTATTTGAGCTTTGATAACCACTACAGTAGCTATTAACAATAATCACTACAGTAGCTATTAACAATATTTAAAATCACGGGGGAGAGAGCATTTCTTTGGTTTTAACTACAATGATTCAAAACAACTCCACTAAACATATACCCATTTTCCTTTCTCACTGAGCCCAGAATTTAACATACCAGTCAAATTCAACTTAGGAATAGGCAATGGCTCCGTTGGAACAGGATGGTATGAAAACAAGGTAAACATTCCCCGTCCTACTGGAAGAGCCATAGTTCGCTGACACAACTGGAGCAATCTATAATTAAAATTAAAACCAACATGTGAAAAAATTTTAAACAAAAAAAACCAGAATGTAATCTGTAGGCAAGTATTTCAAAAGCAGCAGTGCTGTGTAAGATGAAGCCACGTCGAAGCAAATCCATACAAAGTCCTGAGTGAGTCATCTAAACACGGTTGTTCTCATTCTAATACTCTTACTCCCATCAGAAACTCTAAAGGGGAGACACATTTCTTTCTTCTGTTTCATATTTGCTTTGAATTAAAACCAGCCTTTCTATAAACCAAGCCAACTCTCCCTAAGTATTCAAAAAGCAAAACCTATAATTCTACTCTAAACGATGCTAACCCTCTCAGAGGAAAATAACGTATTAGTTGGGTTTCCTCATTGTGCTGTTATCAGTTTAGCTGGGATCCTCCTCTCATCCTTTTTGTGAATATAGCCCAAGCGCCACCTCCATGGGTGCACACAAGGTTAAAAAGGAAGTCCCTGTTTTGGAGGTCAGCGGATTTCACGGTGTCTCCAGGAAACACAGGAGCTTCATTTACTTGATGGTAAGGACTTCTAGGACTAATAGCACTATATGTCAACTATGTTCAAGGTTAAAATGGCTTCTACAGGCTATACTTTGAAACTAATAAACTACTTTTTAAGTTGTTTCTATGTTAAAATAAATGGCATCAAACAGAAATTGTGGAAGCAGGGGCATTCATAACCAGGAAACACTTAACACAAGTTATACCTGAAGACAGAGAAACAGCCCTCCTCCTTCTGAGGCTAACCAGAGGCTGAAATCCTCTCTGCAGACAAAGTTATTCACAAGCACCCTCTCTCCCTAACTGTAAATATATATAGCTGCTTTTCTAGTCCATTGGTGAGGAGAATTTTGCTGTCCTAAGATTCTTTGGGAACACTGTTCCACATTAATTTAAAATCAGGGAAATTTAGAATCAGGCCAGCAGACTACATTCTATAACATGTTTAGCAGAAACATTATACATAATCTACAAAATTATAATAGTGAAAACAAAAACAGTATATCCCCCCTTCCATTTAAGACGCCATTGATTTTAAGATGCAGCACTATTTCATGAGGTACTAAAAAAGAAAAAACACTGCCATTTAAACCATAACACCTACAAACACCTACAGATTGAAAGACATAATCTGATTTCAGAAATAGTAAAACGTACAAAAAAAAAATCAGCATCATACAATCAATGAACTCTGATAATAATCGCTGACTGCATCGAGCTTTACTATACTATGTACTGGGCAGTGTTCTAAGCACCGTGTAGAAATGACCCACTTGATTCCCAGAGAAACTCGGTGAGGTGTGAATGCTACAGTCATGCCTATTCTTACAGTTGAACAAAATGAGGCAGTACTTAATGTTTTATTTAAATTTTTACTTAAATTACAGCAGTTAATGTTTTCCTTTACCTGTTCTCTTTTTCCTCAATGAACTCGTGGTCACTGAGCTCTGGGTACTGCACCACATTGACGCGGACAGGATGTGCACTCTGAAGAAGCCTTCGCACATCCTGCACCCTTAAGTCTTCACTCCATATTAGTGACATCACCTCCTGATTCATGTCATTCATGCCATCATCTTCCTCCTCAGTTTCTGTTCCTGAAGGAACATCTGATGAGAGCACCTGAGTAACAGACTACGTTGTAATACTAATTTAAAAACCAGCCAACACACACTTATTGAACATGAGGATACACAGGATGAGGTACCAAGTCTACATCAGTGCAGAGAAAAAATATATTCCAAAGCAGGGCTGGCTTGGGTTCCCAATACATACTGGGACTCTAACCTAAAAATCTTTTTTTTTTAAGTGTAATTATATTGCCCACTTGGAAACATTCTTTACTGAGCCAAGGGGAAAGCTTTCAACTTACGACGATAGTCGGGAGGCTGATTCCATCGAAAGATATATTCTAAATAAACTGTAAAACTCTAACTATATCCTAAATATTCCAAAAAGGACACAAATTACTGCAAATGGAATATTAACCCCACGCACTAAAGAACCAACACCAATTTAAATACTGTCTTTAATTAATAGAAGCAGAAGAAAACAACCTGGAAGGATATAAACCAAGGGCTGGAGGAGGTCAGACAACACTTTCTCACTTCTGTGCTTTAAGTAGAATAAATCATGGTTGGTTTTCACTTTTTTTTTTTTCCTAAGTATGTTCCAACTATATTTCTTAAAAGGAAAGGGATTAAATGAAGCAAAACAAGTGAGGAGAGTTCATTCCTTGCTTATCATTCTGTCCTCATAAGCTCAGCACGTACTTTACTATGAGCCTTCCCAGTCCAAATAATTCAGTCAGACTTTAAGATAGATGTTAATAGCAGAAATCTCATTTTCTCTCAGAGTTTTAACTCCTTTCACAAAAGATTAACTCCTAGGTGAAATGCTAAAGTTTTGCAACATTTAATGTGGAAGCAACATTAGCCTGAAAAAAGAATAAAGGTAGATATGACTAGATAATCAGTCTGACTTTAGTTGATAAAAATTTATTATAATTCCTATGGAATATCTAATCTTAAAAGAAGCTACATTCTAATAGGTGAGTTAGCAATAAGATACAGATCCAAATAGCTGATAAATTGGAGACGAGTTATAAAATGTAACCTCAAATAACTGAACAAATTCAATTTAGCCAGAATTACTTAAAATGACATATAAATATAAATGAATAATTATCAATACCATTTGGCTTTAGTGCTAATGATGTTCTCATTCACAGTAATAAAAGAGGTCTATAAATGCTAAAGACTTCTCTTGGTCAAGGTAAAGATAACCATATTATTAGCAAAAAAATTTGGTTTTCTGTTTAAAACAAGCCAAATGCTAATTCAACTAAGAGTTGTTATTTCAGTGCAGATTAAAAGACAGATGTGCTGGTACAACCCTGCTGGAGATGGGATCCCCCATGGAAACTGCTTCTGTCACAGATCCATTATACAACTCTGATGGTGGGAATAAATTTTGGTAACAGTCTCTGAAGAAGCGTTAATAGCCTAAGATCTAATGTGGATTATGAACAGTTATTGATTATTAATTGATTATTATGTGTTGGTTCAAAGGTTAATAAGAGATGAGCCAAATCTGCACTGTTTTCTCAGAGACATAAAATACCAAAGTCACCAGGGGTGGAATAACCATCCCTGAATCCTCCTTGATCCTTAGAGTAAATGCAGTGCTACCATTTTTTTTTAAGTTAACTGGAGTTCTAGAAGAAGTTTTCAAAGTTCCATTTTTAAGTTTTAAAAGAGGCTGATTTTAAAAAGAAAGGAGGATAATGATATATTTCAATTTCTATTTGTAGGGTTTTAGAACCCATTCTTAAAAAAACAGATTTGAACATTGATGAAGGGCACTGTTTGAGGAGGGATAACATTAAGACAGCTTCTAAACAACTTTAGTGCCCCCCTGCAAAAAAACCTTTTTCCTGGGGCTTCAGTTTTATGTGATTAAAGATATATTTACACCTATGTAAAAGGTTAAATTTAAGAAATGTAACACATCAAAAAAGTATGAAGGATAAATAGTTATAATTTATTCAAATTCAGGACATTATGTGCTCTCCCTATTTCCACATAATAATTACAAAGTAGTTAATTACTAACATGGTCCAAGCAGGGAATCAGTCATGGTAGCTGCTATACTGACTCGGCACTTGTCCTGACTCAAGGCACAGAAAGGTCCAGGCAAAACAGAGCATTCACAAAATCTGTTCCCATGTTCGACTTACAATTAATAAGATTTGTCCAATTTTAAACTGTATCTAGCATATAATATAAAAGATAATCTGATATACACACTTGCAAAAAGACTTAAAGGAAAATGGAGAACATTTCTACTCTGCTTTTATTGAGGCTAAATCTGAATATGGACTTTCCATATTGATACTCACAGATTTCCCTTTGGGCAAGTTTCCTTCACAGGCCTGCTTGGAAAGATCCTGACGCCCAATCAACAGGCAAACAGCTTCTGGCCAGTCTGAAGCAGGCTGCTCCCGACAGTGATAAATCGCATCTCTGATGGGAAGAGCAATTCCAAAGGGAAGGGTTTCCAAGTCTCTTAAAGCGAAACCTTGTGGTGAAAGGAAGGGAGAAAATTTTTCACTTAGACTTACCACTGTCCCAATTATTCTCTGAGTGAAGTTAGTAAACTCTATCCTAACAAATAAGCAAGAAATTGATTTTACTCATCTTACTACCAGACCAGTGTCTTGACCTCAGGGATGAGTATAAAATTTTGTTTTAAACAAAAAATTCCTAAAAACTTTAAGAAAAAGACAAACAATCCAATAGGAAAAACACAAAGGACAAAAAAACATTTCCCTAAGAGGAAACACAAATGGTCAATAAACATATGAAAAGATGCTCTATCCAATGAGTGATCAGGGAAATGTAAATTAAAACCACTAGAAAATAAAAGTTCACACTCATTTGACAGACACATATTAAAGTCAATCGATACCAAGTGTTGGTAACTACGTAGAGCAACAGTAATTCTCTTCCATAGCCAGTGGTGGTGTATACGGGTCCAACCACTTTGGAAAACATTCAGCACGTAGAGTTAGGTCCACCCCTACGGTCCATCAACAGACATACAGAAAGTTGTGTACATGGCACCAGGACATAAGCATTAAAATATTCATTAGTAATGTTTCATTATGGCAAAAAAGGGAAGGGAGGAAAGAGCCCAATTGCTATCATCAATAGAATGGATGAATAAGTTGTGATATATTCAAGCAGCAGATCATACAGCAGTGAAAATGAATGATCTTCTGCTACATGAGTCAACATGGATGAATCTTTAAATAATAATATTGAGTGAAGAAAATAAGATAGTAAAAAAACATGTTTATATTTATATCTATTTACATAAAGTTAAAAAACATACAACACTAAGCAATATATGAAGTGATAAAACTCAAAAAAAAAAAAAAAAAATGACAGAACGTAATACAAAATTTAGGTAGGGTACGGTACAGGTACTTTACCTCTAGCGATGGGTGTATGAGAAAGGGAGGCCATGCAGGAGTAGATCCACAGGGCTTTCTACTACACTGGCAATGTTTTATTTCTAATGGTGGGTCACCAGGACATCAATGTTCATTTTATTATTATTCTCTAAATACATTTTATACACTCTTATATGTACACCATATTTCATTTAAAAAAACTTCAAATCCTCAGGCTAATTAATTTCTTCGGTGATAATTTTCTAAATTTTGTAATATTATACGTTATTTATTAATATAGAAAGTTGATCAATTATTGAGGTTAAATGCTATGTACTATACAAATGAACAGAACTCATATTTTCAGCATAAGTGTCTCATCTGTAATACTATATGACAATTACTGCAATTGTCAAGGAAGCATACACAAAAGCACAGGGAAAAACTAAGTCATTCAGAACATTCCCTAAATAAGAATTCAGAAACATCCTGTAATATTCATTAAAGCATTACCTTCTAACATACTACTCTATAACATTCTCCTTTTCTACATTTTCATATCAGTAATATTTTTAAAAATTTTTATAGGAAATTTTAGTATTTTACTCAGCTTAAAACCTAAAGGCACAGGCTTAGGAAGAGAAAATAAACTCTTTTCCTTCCTTTCCCTTGTCCCAGGTGAATCTGCCTCTTGGTGCATAAAATCCCTGGCCTGTATCATTCAAAAGCATACCCTGAAATATTTACACATTACTTTTAGATTTTGCCAGAAATACTCATTTCTGATAGCCCAGATATTAGTATAGGGAAGCTGTGAGACTGGCAGGGAAAGGAAGGGTGGCTTGATGGGCCATCATCTCCATCCTGTGGGATCCTTCGGTAGAGGGAGAGGCCCTCCCTTCTCACGCCTTCCAGCTCTAGTGAGCTCTGAGGACGCAGGGCCTACTTAGGAAGGAGAGCCCAGGGAAAGGATTTCAAAGACACATGAAAAGTAACAAAGACCACCTTACCTACATTAGTCATCCAGACGACTAATCTCTCAGCTAGACTAGAAACTGATGTAGAATGCCTGAAACTAAACCTATAAGAGAACAAACATGAAGTTATTAAACACGAAGTTATCAAACAGACTGTGTAAAAGCACAATCTGAATAAAAGTCACCTGTTCTCCTCTTGCTCTGCTTGTGACTTCTGTGGGGCTAAAACAAAACGAAACTTTATTTTGATAGTTATCCTGGTAAAGGAAACACATAACATGTAGAAAACATTTGCAAATAAAAATTCATTAATAAACAAATGCTAAAAAATAATAAGCAGTACTCTGGCAGGCTGGAAAGTATAATCATTTCTCTGGGGCTAAAACAGTCCTCTTTAGACACACTGAAAATGTAAAATGTGTTAGATTTTAAGCAAACTTGGTCTCTAAAAGTCAGATGTGGACTCCAGACTAAAACGGTGCAATTATGTCACCTCTAAAATGAAGCAAGACATGGCCTCTGAAGTACACTTGGAAAATTTTTAATTTTTTAAATTTCAACTCTGATATCAACATCTATAAAAATTTGTTTGGGGAAGCTTAACATTAGACTGACTTACCTATACTTATTCTGGATAAATACTGTGAGGATTCATCAGAAACAGAACTTTCATCACCAAGTATGTAGAGTGCAATACTCTGCATAAGGAGAAAGTTAACATTTTTTAAACTATTGGGGCATAATTACATACAGGAAAATTCACCCACTTTAAATGTACAGCTCTGTGTTTTGACAAATGTTACACAATCATATAACCACTACCACAGTCACGATACAGAATGCCTGCATCACACCAGAAAGTTCCCTGTGCCCCTTGGAGTCAATCCGCTCCCTCCCCTACGCCAAGCAGTGGAAACAACGCACCTTTTTTCTCTCCCTAAATTTTGCCTACTCTACAATGTCATGCAAATGGAGTCATAGAACACGTAGTCTTCTGTGCCCTACTTCTTTAACTCAGCACTCCTTTGAGATTCATCCACGTTACTGCATGTATCAGTAGTTTGTTTCTTTTTACTGCTGACGAGTATTCCATTATACAGGTGTACCAACCTTTGTTTATCTACTTATAAACTGATTGACATTTGGGTCATTTTTGGTGAGGTACACCCTAACTCTCGACCCCTCTAGGCCTAACCCTTCTCTGCTTCAGCCTTCAAAGTTCTCGTTTGAATACTTGCTACTACCACTAAGATCTACGTCTGCAGCTTTTTTTTTTTTTTTTTCCTGAAAGAAAGTAGGAGTATGAGCTTATTAAAATTTCAGCACAATGCTGGAGGATCTTCAAGTCCTACATTCTAACCCACTGCAAATGATATATTCCTAAAGCTAGCTGACATCATATCTAACAAAGTTATAATATGAATATCTACAAATTGACTACTATTATTTAAGTTGGAGGCTGAACAACTCTGGCTTATTCATATTTCTCTAGCTCCCTTTTGGGTAGATATAACACTGAGTCTAACCCATTCAGCAGAGTTGGACAGGACCAATATATCTGGTGATTGCACCTGAATGTTTCCACACAAGCAGCAAGGAATGAAAAAGTTCTGGGATTAAGCTGCTCTTAATACACTGTGAATGTATTTAACATCACTGAATTGTACACTTAAAATAGTTAAAATAATAAATATTATGTTATGTATAGTTTATCAGCATTTTATTTTTAAAAGCAGATTACCATTCTGCGTGTCAATTTCAGAGCCACAGGGGGTTCTGAAGCCTTTCTCAACATGAAGCAAAGCAGAATGCAGAGTAAAGGAAAAGATGGGTGGGGAGCAAGGACATTCATATACTCCAGTGACATCTGGGAGAGGAGACAAAAGATCTGGTTCTCTTCTAAGTCTGGGAAGGCTCCATCTCCAGAAAGGTCCACAAAAGACCTGTAGGCAGGCTACTCCAGTAGAGGGACCAAGAGAAAGGAGTGTGAAGGAACTCACCTTTGCCCATACCCTCTGGTTCTATTTGAGGGTCTGATCTTGGATTACCTATGTATTAACAAAATGAATTAATTTTTAAAAATAAAAATTGGGGCTTCCCTGGTGGTGCAGTGGTTGAGAGTCCGCCTGCCGATGCAGGGGACACGGGTTCGTGCCCCGGTCTGGGAAGATCCCACATGCCGCGGAGCGGCTGGGCCCGTGAGCCATGGCCGCTGAGCCTGCGCATCCGGAGCCTGTGCTCCGTAACGGGAGAGGCCACAACAGTGAGAGGCCCGCGTACCGCAAATAAATAAATAAATAAATAAATAAAAATAAAAATTATTTTATTTTTAAAAATGCAAGTAGGATTTTTTGTAGCTATGGACAGGCTGATTATAAAGTTTAAATGGAAAGGCAAAGGAATTTAAATAGCTAAAACAATTTTGAAAAAGAAAAGTAATGGAAGGAAAAGTCATACTAACCAATTTTAAAACTTACTATAAAGCTACAGTAATCAAGAGTGTGTGGACCACAACACAGATCAATGGACCAGAATAAAAAGTCTAGAAACAGACCCACAAGAATGTGGTCAACTGATTCTTAATAAAAGTGCAAAAGAGAAAGAATAGTGTTTTCAACAGATGCTGTTAAAAGAATTGACCATCCAAATGGAATAAAAATCTCAACATAATCCTCACATCTTATAAAAATTAACAAAATGGATCATAGATCTAAATGTAAAACATAAAACTGTAAAACTTCTAGAAGAAAAGTGGAGAAAATCCTTGTGACCTAAACAATGAATTTATAGACATGACACCAAAAGCACAATCCATAAAAGAAAAAAAACTGGATAAACTGGCTTCATCAAAATTAAGCATTTTTGCTTCACAAAGGAAACATTAAGAGAACAATGGAACATGACAAACTACAGGAAAGAATACTTGAAATCCATAGATCTGACAAAACCTCATATCTAGGAATACTCAAAATATCACTAGCCATTAAGAAAACGCAAATTAAAACCACAATGAGATATCACTACACATCTATCAGAATGACAAAAATTACAAATCATGACAATACCAAACACTGACCAGGATGCAGGGAAACTGGAACTCTCACACATTGATGGTGGAAATGTAAAATGGTACATATACTCTGAAAAACACTTTACAGTTTCTTAAATATACATATATCAATCTTAAATATATACTTACTATATGGCCATCAATCACACCTCTGGGTATCTACCCTAGAGAAATGAAAACTTTTGTTCACACAAAAAACCTGGACATGAATGTTTACAGCAACTGTATTCATAATTGCTAACAACTGGAGTCAACCCAAATATCTTCAATGGATGAATGGATAAACCAATGTGATATATCCACACAATGTACAGCTGGCACTCAGCAATTAAGTGTAACGAACTGCTGATACAGCAACACTTGGATGAATCCCAAAAGCATGAGGGAATTTTCTGAGGTGGGTGATGGAACTGTTCTGAATCCTAATTATGGTGGTGATTACATGAACTCTACATTTGTTGAAATCCTCAGAGCTATATACAAAATGAAAAAAAAAAGTTAATTTAACTGTATGATAATTTAAAAAATTATACTGAAAGAGAAAAAGAAAAGAACAAGCTTGGCAACACTTCGAATACATACCAAGACTACAAGTCTGCTTCTTTCACAGATGACGGGGAGGTAAGGATAGGGTGGCATTCCTTCACCCTTCAGACAAGAACTCACCCACTGATAAATACTTGGTGGCTCAGAAGTAAAAAATGATGGATGATGCATAAATCCTGTTTGTCCTTTAAAATTAGACAAATGTTTATAAAGATACATTAATACAATACTGTTTTATTCTAAAAGAAAAATAATCAACAATATCTATCATTTGAAAACTATCAGAATAACATTTTTCCATAGTCTCCAAAATGCTCCATGTTTTCTGCCACAGTAAGTAACTGACCATATTATAATATGTGGAATTTAATTGACTAATATTTTATCCAATCCTGGAAGGAAATTTAGAAAATTCTTGTGTTCAAGGCATATAAAGAATCTAACCAAAAATTTCTGCCCTATCCCTAAAGATGAGAAAACAGACAAGACACCCAGGATTGTGCTCTGTTTTAACCACTGGGCCCCAATCCTGAGTCGCTTTAACTCGGGGTCTAAGACAGTACAGTGGTTATGGAAATGTTCTGTATCTGTACTGTCCAATATGGCAACCACTAGCCCCATGTGGCTACCGAGCACTTGAAACACGGCCAGTGCAACTGAGGAACTGAATTTTTAATATAATTAACTTAGATAGCACATGGCAGGTGGCTACTAACTGCGCAGCACAGGACAGCAGCGCACCCTTGGCACTGGAAGCTCTAAGCTTTTGCAAGGCAGAAACTTAGGGATGAGTAACATTTTCCCCCTACACTGAAGAGATTATGGCTTACTACAAGTCAGAGATCGAACACTACAAACTAAAATCTGCCTGGTGGAAAGACACTGCCCCTGATTTAGAGGCCAATGGTAAGAAATATATCCTCTGCTATTCACCAAGAAAAATACAAGCAAATGTCACTACATTGTTCAGAAAACCTTTAACAGCACACTTACCTTGATCAATTGTACACACTTGTCCAGTAGTTCTGACAAGTGCTGGGTAATCTCTATAGTAATGATCTACATAAGCCTCCAATTTTAAGTCCCTAAAACAATAAGAACACATAAAAAAGAAATAACAAGGAAGGTATTATAGCACTTTCCTCCCAAAGAGTTAGAAGGACTCATCAGTTGAACTTTTCAATTAAAAAAATTTACTTATGAGAAAGAAGACAACCAGATCTAGAGCCTCTGTATTCTATTTCTGGACTTTAAAGTGCCCAGTATGACAAATGGAACCCAAACTCCTTTTGCCAGATGAATTTTGTGGATAAAACTACTGTGAAAACACTGTGGTCCATTTTCTCCTCTTTTAATTTATTAGCTGTGTGACTGTCAGCAAGTCAACTCTATGAATCTCAGTACTTTTTCTTCTAGAAAATGGAGAAACACCAGTTAACTCACTCTCAAGTTTTTAAGATTAAATAAGATAATATGTGTGAGAAATACTTTACAAAATGTAAAACATTTTACAAATGTTACCTGTTTCAGAGAGCCATGATTAGGGTTTGAAAATCATTTCATTACAAAAGTATTTTCATCATAGTAATGATTCATCATTAAGAGAAACTGACCATCAATTAAAACTGCCATGTCTCAGAAAAGAATTTCAGTATCTCAAGGAAGATAACAGAAATTAGAAAACATACTACAACCTTAACACAGAGGTTGGCATTTTAATTCAAAGTTAACTTTCTTTATCACCAAGGGTCACAAAGGCTCAAATAACACCTAAGTATGACCTTCCCAGTTCAGTGTCAAACACAAGGTGCTAGAAAGGCTTTTAAAAATATTATCAGAACAATCTTATTATGGATCCACTACGAGAGCCTGAAAGACGGGGAAGACCACAGACTGAGACAACAAAGGAATAGCAAAGACAGCCCACGACTAGCAAACGACACCTGTTCTTAGAAACAAACTTGAGCAAGTTTCCTCATCGCTGAAACAGGGATTGCAATACCTACTTTGACAATTCCTACATGTAAATTACGATTTTGTTCGCTGTAAACACTATCTGAACATAGGCATTACTATGAAAACAGCAGGTGTCATTACAAACCTTTCACCACAGTCATCGTGTCAAAATGAAAGCTGAGCAGGTCATCCTCACCGTGTAACACACTCCGGTGTCTTCCCACTCATCTTAGGACAAAGACCAGCAACCCCAGCATGACCCACAGGCCCTTACATAGTGGATACCTTCAAACAATTCTGTGGTTTATAGAAAATGCTGTGGTTTGTTGAGACGGTAGATTTCAGAAATTTATTTACAAGCTTCCTATATGATATTCATGTCTAAGATCAAGTCAGCTAACGACCTCTTGAAGTTTCTAATCTACAAACAACATTTACCTTGCCAACTGAACGAGAAGTTCAACAAGTGAACGAATTCCTTCTCCCATTAGAGTGTTCAACTTAAGCTCCTCATAGACCAGGTGAAGAACAAAAAAAATTGCAGGTATGTGAGTGAAAAGAAGTGTAGAAGAGTCCAAACTGAGATTCTGTGACAAATCCTCATCCTTCATCTGTGAAACTTCCAAAGGACTCAAACATAAAGATCTATTCAAAAGATGAGACTCAACATTCTGGTGGTAGTCTGAATTTAGTAAATATTCCCAGTCCTGAGAAGAATAAAAAGGATATTAACTTCTTAAATAATCCCTCCTTGTAATGTCATCATTAAAAAAGAAAATCAAATTCACTTAAAACAATTCAAGTTCCATTTTCACATTAAGTTGTTAATAATATGAAAAATCACAATGCTGAAAAATTAGAACCAACACTTCAAATAGCTAAGCAGTTTCCAGGTGCCAGCAATAAATATTAAGACAAGACACCTTTAAAAACCACTTAAAAAAATGTAGTCACGCCCTTTTAGGGAAGAGACTTTGGAAGAAAAATCCTACTACCTAGGTAGAGATTGAGAGAGAAAAATTTAAGATTATCTTAGGCAATGTCTTATGAGCCAAAAGTAAAGAAGGAAAGGTGGGAAGTGTAGATAGGCAGGTATAAGGACCACTACATTGATTTGGGTTTTAGTAAAAGGAGAGGTCTACTTGTATCCAGCTGGTATATGTATCTTTCAATGTTTATAAGATGATAACGCTAGTAATGTGCCTAATAGTCAACTGAATTTTATATTCAAACTGTGCTACACTTTACAAGTATTAAGTGTGTTTTAGTTTCTACTTGTGATTTATTGTATTGTGTTGAGAGAATGTGGTCTATGGTTTTGTCACAACTTGGAATTTATTGGTGCTTTTGTCAGGCTTAATACAGTGTGTTATTCTAACTTAAAAACTCTTGGAACAGATATAGAACCAACCATAAAAGTAAAAAATTTATAAGTTAGACAACCAAAATAAAAAATTCTGCTCACCAAAAGACACTGTTAAGCCACATACTGGGAGAAAATATTCCCAAAATACACATATGACAAAGAATGTCATATCTAAAATATATAAAGAACTTCTACAGCTTAATAAATATTTTTTTAAATTCAATGTAAAAATAGGTAAAACACCTGAACAGAAACTTCACACAAACATATGTAAGTAGCTAATAAGCACATGAAACAGTGCCTAACATCATTAGTCATTAGGGAAAGGCAAATTAAAACCTCTTAGAGAAACTGCTTTCCACACATCCAAATGGTTAAAAGGAAAAAGACTGACAGCAAATATTGGCCAACTCATATATTACTCGTCAGTGTTAACATGGTATAACCAGTCTGAGAACCAGCAATGACCCAACAAGTTGCTAGGTATTTAGCCAAGAGAAATGAAAATATATGCCCACAAAGATTTATTACTGAATGTTGGCAGCAGCTTTACACATAACAGTCAAATAACGGAAATGGGCTAGATATCCATCAGCGGAAGAATGAATAAACAAACTATGGTATATTCATACTACCCACCAATAAAAAGGCACAAACTACTGATATCTGCAACAACATGGATGAATCTCAAAAGCATTATGCTGAATGAAAGAAACCTTATGCCAAAGATTACATACTATATTCCTTCATTTATATCAAATTCTAGAGCTGGCAACGCTAACATATGACAGAATTCAAATCAGTGGACGCTTTGAGAAGAAAGAAATGATTTAAAATGGCACGAGAGCTTTATGGAATAATGGAAATGTTTTGTTCTTGAGAGGAGTGTGGGTCACACGAGTGTGCATTTGTCAAAATTGATCAAACTGCATACTTAAGATCTGAGCATTTCATTTATGTAAATTAAACCTCAATTTTAAAAGAATGTTTTCAAACAACAAGAATACACCCATGGAATCTGATATGTTTGAAAACCTAAATTAAAGAAACACTGCCTAAAAAGGCAAATGCTGTCACTTTAGGTGATCAATTGGCAGTAAAACATCTATAAACCCAAATTTAAATCACACAGCATTATGTATGTTTAGTAATTTTTAGATGATCATTAAAGACAAAAGTGAATAAATAGCCACAGAAAATGTAACAGGTCCTGTCCTTCAACATAGCTGTCATTCAGTATTAAAATAAGTAAAAGGTGTTAGAAATACATGCAAATCAACAGGAACATTACAAATGTGGGGGACCAGTATAATACTCACAGATTAATTTTTATTAGCAAGAAAAAACAACGCTTACATCATCAGATCCTGTCTCAGAAGGTCTTGCTTTTTTGGGTGCAATGACTGGGGAAAGTGATCCTTCAAAGTCGAACTGGAAGATAACCCCAAAAGAGAAGACAAAATCATGTAAATTTATCACTGACAACTGATCAACTTAAATGATTCTGAAATCAGTTCTACCAATTATGGAAACTGAGGAATGTCACCAAAACTCATTTTCTCATCTGGAAAAACATGGCACGAAAACCTTTCTTCTAGGATCATTGTGAAGATTAAATGAAATCATCTATGTAAAGCACCTAGTCCAGTGCCTGGGCTCACAGGTACTGCAATGGTAGCTTCCTTTCCTCCCCTACTTCTCTGATGACACAGATCTTCACTCCACTGGTAGAAAGAACAGGACCATTAGCTATACCCAAAATATGCCAAGTCTCAAAGAATCAACCCAGTGTCAGCCAAATGTCAGAACTTAGCAGACATTTATTTAGAGTCTGTCTACAGTGACAGTCTAACAATTCTATGGCAGAGATGGGTAGCTACTCTCCAAAATCTGTGTTCTCCTCTTTCTCCTGGACCCACAGCCACGCTATGTATCCCTGCCCCCTCACAGTTAGCTGTGGCCCTCTGACAGTGGGATTATGAATGAAAGCAGATGTCACCACTGCCAGGCCCAGTTCCTGAAAACCTCCCATTCATGCTCCCCTAGGCTCTTTCCCTTGCATCTAGCATCAACTCTAAGGCTATCTTTGAAGCCTCACGTTGAAGACAGATGCTCCATCAGCCTGGGTCCCTAATAACCATGAGGCCTGTTTGCCTGCTAAATACTGTTATATGAACAAGATACACATCTTTATTGTGTGTGAGCCATTATATCTTTTGAGAGCTTTCTGTTATAATAGTTAGCCTATCCTAATGCAGTTACATAAAAGCAATTTTCTAAAAGTTCAGTCTTATTCAATTCCCTCTGGCATAACCTTTGCCACCTGCTACTTTACACAGGCACTGAACTACCAACTAATCAACCATAACCCTATAAATAGCAATAGCTGTTTTCCTACGCTATAAAAACTTACATATTTATCAATTAATCTCATTCATCTGAAAGTTTATTTCTATATAAAAACTAAACATAGATAGCAATAATTTTTAAAACTGAATGTTTAAATATAAAACTGCATAAAGTACTTTTTTAAACTGAATAAAGTAATTTAAAAAACTGATCAAGAGAACAGGTTTTCTTGTGAAGCATTTAAATAAAACACAACCCAACTTACAATATTATCAAAAAACAAAAATAACAAGAGCAAAATCAAAGCAACAGATGAAATGATAGCTATCTTACCTAAAACTTCAACCAAATATAGCGTACATGTGTGCACGCGCGCACACACATAGTCTTAAGTCCCACAGTCAGAAAGAATGTCCCAGCTATGGTTATCAGGTTCATTAAGACCTGGAGTTATGGGAAAGGACAGTGGAGATTGTCTGATACAGATACCTCTTTGTGACATATATGGATCTGTCTTATTTTCATTATTTTAATATGTCACAGGTTAGCCAATCCTGTTATATAATTCTGTGGATCCCTGACCTTGATCTATCACAACCTGGATATAAAATATTCATTTATCTGCCTTCCCCTAGGACAGTCAATTCCATGAGAGGAACTATCTGTCTTCCCTAATGCGTATCTGAAAAGCCTGGCTTCATGCCTGGCCCACATCAGGGACTCAATATCTATCTAATGAAAATATGAGCATCCCAAAGGACAGAACAGTTAACCCTAGATGCAACCACTCACAGAATGTAAGAACCAAAAAGAAATGTCTGGCCCAGTCCTCTCATTTAACTAATTAGTGAATTAAGGAAGGCCCAAAGAAATGCCAAAATCACAGAGCTAGTCATTGGCAGAAATTCGGTACTCTACCCTCCACTCTATTACTTAAATGAAAACAAAAAAGAGATATATCTGGACAAAGCAAAATAAAAACCATTTGCCACTGAGGACCATTTCATCCTGCGCTTTGACGGCGAGGACAAAAGACAGCAGGGTTTAACTATGCAGTCCTACAAATAAATGTCAGAGCTGATTTCCTCGTTCCTTCCTTTAGGGCTATCATGCAATAAGTAAATCAAAGAATCATGTTCTTCTTTACAAAAGAAAAAAACTGTGGGTGCTCAGTCCTAACCACAACATGGAAACACGAGGGGGCACTGGCTCTCTGCTAGAGAATGGGGCACAGTGATCTGTATTCCTCAACAAGTTCCACAGGACAGTAACATACAAAAACTACAAGAAGCTGAAGTGGACTTATTCATATTGTAGAAATCCTCGGTTTCTATAAGGCACAATTTTTCGATATTTAATAAAGAATGGAAAAATCTGGAATGAAGTAGCATTCATGCAATTGTTTGGAATAAGAAAATTGTCCCTATTTTCCCAGGAAAATTTTTCCCAAGGAAATTGCAGAGGGCGATTCTTTCACATGATGCAACAGACACAAAATGTTAAAATACTTCATTCAGGTGGAAAAGGGCATTCATTCAACAAATGTTCACTAAACAGCCACCTATGCCAGGCACTACTGTAGGTCCTAGAGATAGAGTAGTGAACAAAACCAAACAAAAATCCCTGCCCACACAGAATTTTCCTGTGGGAGGAGAAGAGACACACAAACAAAATAAATAAAATATACAGCATATTATATATAATTAGTGCTAAGAGGAAAAAAAGGTAAAGGGGATCATAAGGGGGGCATGGAGTGTAGGTACAATTCTACACAGAATGGACAGGGCAGGCTGCACTGAGGTGACATCTGGAAAAGGCCTCAGCTTGTCTTGTCTGAGGGAAGTCATTTTCTCCAGGGGTAACAGCAAGTGCAAAGACCCTGAGGCAGGAACATGCTTGGTGTGTTCAGGGGAAACAATGGAAACCAGCGTGGTGGGGACAATGCGAGCAAGGCAGGGATGAGTAAGCAGTAAAACCAGATGTAAGAGAAGCTGGGTCACATGGTGTCTTGCAGGCCTTTGGCTTTTACTGAGTAGGATGGGAAGGCACTAGAGGGTTCTGAGCAGAGGAGTGACTTGATCTGACTTTATTGGACAGGATTACTTTGGTTGCTAGGGTGGAGAGGAGAATGAAACAGGTAAGCCATGAAATGCAAGTCAAAAAATAAAAACTATAGGGGGCTTCCCTGGTGGCGCAGTGGTTGAGAGTCCGCCTGCCGATGCAGGGGACATGGGTTCGTGCCCCGGTCCAGGAAGATCCCACGTGCCGCGGAGCGGCTGGGCCTATGAGCCATGGCCGCTGAGCCTGCGCGTCCGGAGCCTGTGCTCCACAACAGGAGAGGCCACAACAGTGAGAGGCCTGCGTACCGCAAAAATAAATAAATAATAAAAACTATAAATGACCAATGAGAATTTTAAAAAGCCATTCCCATTTACTTATACAGAAATAACATAATAGTTCTGAGTTGGCAAAGGTTCACCCCACTCAAATAATCAATGTGGTGAAATGGGCACCTTTAAATGATGCTGGTGAAAATGTTGATTGCACAACCCTTTTTGAACATTACTTGACCTAGTAATCCCTCTTTTAGGGTTCAGTTCTTGGGAAATGACGAGAGATGTACAGATTTACATATAAAAGAATGTTTGCAAATTACTCATAAGAAAAAAACTGGTTCAACAATGTTCAGTTATTAGCCATTAATCATGATAAAACCACATGGTAGCCTATAAAATGAAGGGGGTTTTTTGAAGAATTTTTAATGATATAGGAAATTTTCATTGATATCATGTTTATCTATAAAGCAAAAGCAAAACGTTTAGAGTGGCTGTCTCTGAGTAACAGTATTTTCCTCTTAGTTCCTCCATTTTCCAAATTCTCCTCAGTAAGCATGTATACTTCCATAATAAAAAAAAAACAAATGATATTTTAAAATGGATTTGCTGGTATGAAACTAAAATGCATAGACAAGTACAGCTGAGTTACCTGGAGAAAGGTAAGTGTGTTCTACAGTGATTTCTTCAGAGTGACCCAGGCAAGGTTGTCCTGGGAGTGATCTCCAGAGGCAAAAGGAAATCACCAATACTGAAGACGCTACCCTGATTTTGTAAATAACCTATTAAGGGCCTGGAAGAAAGTTTCTAGGGAGGGAGATGAGGAATGCAGCTTTATATCATTAGCAGACTACATACTTAGGCTAAAGCACTTTAAATCTCCATCAAATCAAACCTTCCTCCTCACAGACCAAGCAATTGTGTGTGAAAACACAGTCTGGGCTTCAGAAAAGAACATTAAGCCATGAGTCAGAAGATAGAATGAAGGCCCAGTTTTGAGCAAATCTCTAGTCGGTGATTTCTTCGTGATTCAGTTTCTTCATCAATAAAATCAAGACTACTACTACTAATCCGAGCATAACTTATAGCCATTTTACAAAGATGAAATGAGAAATAGTGGCCAAAGTGCTTTACCATATTATGAAAATGCAATAATTCTAATTACTAGTAAAATGTTATTAAATAGTAATGATATTTGACTTAAAATGTATAGACACAATAAGCCTTAACATATTCCATTTTGTTGAATGAAGTATGCCCATTAGTAAACTGATATGTTATATACTCTGAATGCTGCACAACCAATTATGCAAACATCACTGGTGGATTTGTTTTTTGGTTTGCTTGCTCTCTTCTTTCTTTCTTTCTTTTTTATTACATTTTTAAATTTTTTTTAATAATTATTTTTTATTTTAATAACTTTATTTTATTTTCCTCTTTCTTTCTTTCTTTTTTTTCTCCCTTTCATTCTGAGCCATGTGGATGACAGGCTCTTGGTGATCCAGCCAGGCATCAGGGTTGTGCCTTTGAGGTGGGAGAGCCAAGTTCAGGACATTGGCCCACAAGAGACCTCCCAGCTCCACGTAATATCAAACGGCGAAAATCTTCCAGACATCCCATCTCAACGCCAAGACCCAGCTCCACTCAACAACGAGCAAGCTACAGTGCTGGACACCCTATGCCAAACAACTCGCAAGACAAGAACACAACCCCACCCATTAGCAGAGAGGCTGCCTAAATCACAATAAG